GTAGCCGCTCCTCAGAGAGGCCCAGAGTACCGCTGGCGTCCGCCCGGCAGCCCCCTCCTCGGCGCCCACCTGTCCCGCCTAGTGTCCTTCGTGGCGCTCAGCGGGACCTGGGCCACCGCGAACTTGTTTATCTCCGGTCCTCAGGGCCTCCCGCAGTCGAGGGTCACGGAGCCCGGCTTTTTTTGGACGCTTGAAAAAAATCCCAGGACCTAGAACTGTGCCCAGGGACACGGGAAAATGTTGAGGAGAGAATAGACCTGGGAGTGCACAGCCCTTCTCTGGGTCCCACGGGGGCCAGTGAGGACCCCTCAGGGTGGACCCCCAAAGCCTGTGGAAACTCTGCTGGAACTGGGGGCTACCGCGGTCAGGGGGCAGGGGGAGAATGTGAGTGATAAAATTGTATGAGACAGTTCCACAGAAGACACGGCTGTGGTTTCAAAGAGCCTTATATGAACCAGAGGCAAGATTTTCAGAAGGTGGCATGTCACTTTCTAAAGACAAACAGGGTCCCTTCTTCCTAGTGGAACTAGCACCCATCTCTGAAGAGCTGACACTTGCAGCCAGTTTGTTTTCTGAGGACCCAAATTTGTTGCCGGGTGGGAGAAATGGAGTGAGTCTGGCTTTGGAAACATTTTCACTTTCGCTATGGGGTTATGGGATGGCTGTGGGCACGCTGCAGCCGGTCTGACCAGGTGCCTTCACTTTCCGAGCTGTGCTGTATTCGGGCTGTTTGGTGGTACCTGCCTTCACCTCATCAAAACTCCACCCATGTCCTAAATTGTGGATGCCCAGGACCCAGGGAAAGAACATGTGAAGAAAGTTTCTTTTTAAGCCGGTCAAAATTCAGTCTACACCACAGAACAACACCTTGTAGGAATGGTCTGAGACTTTTAGTATCCTATGACCACACACAGTTTTTAAGAATTTCTAGTATCTTTTAAGATAAGAATATGGAACTTTAGCGAGGACCCAAATGGTGTCTTTCCTACTGCTGATTTGCCCATTTTTTTTCCCTCTGAAGTCAGTCATCAACTGAAGTTATGTTATTGCCACACTGTCAAATCTTTAATAGAAACAGCCGTGTTCATTTAGAAGTCATAATTAGTTTCCTCGCTGTGCATAAGAATTCATTTTGCCTAATCAATCATCTCATGATTTTTATTGGACTTTTTTGATTTTTCGGGGAATGCTCTGTATTCATGTGGGCTGCTCCCCCTTCCCCTGAGGACTGTAAACACACCATGTTCTAGGAGTTCGTTTGTAACTCTCCTAGAAGTAACATTTGCGGAGCCTGGAAGGTTCTCAGGAGAGCCTCCCTGGGCCACCCTCACTGCAAGCGCTGCCCAATTAACCTCGGGGGACCTCCATTGTGATTCTGTAGCACCCAGCTACCTAACATTCCCCCTGCGCCTGCCTCCCTGCATTCCAGTCTGCTGCGTGGGGAGGATGAGCAAGTCTGGGCCTCCCCAGCCGTCTGGCTGCTCAGAGCTCTCTTCTGAGGGTTCCCTGAGGGCACTGACTGCAAAACCCCACCAGGCGCCCAGCCTGGAGGAAGTGCTCAACAACTCTTGACTCTTAACTTCACGCTTGCCAGGATCCCAAGTTACCAGCTCCTCCCACACCCCCGCCAAGGTCTCTGGAGCAACTTATGAGAATTCAGTAGGAGGAAGGCAGCAGGCTAGATTCACTGGCCCCCTGGGTGAATTGGAGATGCTTCATCAAAGTTATTTGCATTTCCAAATAACTTTAAGTAATGGCTTGGGGTTTTTGTTTGTTTTGTTGTTGTTGGGTTTTTTAAAAAATATTTTTTAGTTTTTTTTTTAGGCGGACACAATATTGTTATTTTTATGTGGTGGTGAGGATGGAACCCAGTGCCTCACGCATGCCAGGCGAGTGCACTACCACTTGAGCCACGTCCCAGCCCTTGTCGTTGTTTTGGTTTGTTTTAAGGGAGAGGTATAGGATGAAGCATTTTGGACTGAGACAGAGGGTGAGGAGGTTTCTCCCGCATTGCTGATATTTCTAACCCAGCCCTTTCTGGATTCTTGGAGGCCACTCTGCTTCCTGTGTGTTTCCCTGGTACCCCCTCCTTCTGAGTTGTCCCCCTGGACTCCTCCGACTGGGGCCTCAACTCCACCTGAAGCCCTCCCCCTCCAACTGTCCTTGTGGACCCAGCTCCTGCTGCCTGTCCCTGTGAGGTCTAATGCTCTCCCACCTAATAGTGCGGAAGTGCCTCCTCCATTCCTGCTCCTCTGAGCTCAGGCAGGAGAGATGGAACTCCATCTCCCGGTGCTCCATCCCAGATCCTGGAGTCACCTGTAACTGCTGCACCCAGAGCAGAAGCCAGAAGGGTCTCCCACAGCCACAGCTGTGCTTCCTGCTCCAGTTCATACCTCCCTGCTCCCATTGCCCCCTCTCCCCCACACTGACCCCTGGCTCTCCCTCCAGCATCCCCTAAGGCCTTTGCCAAGGTCCTCCTGCTGCCCAGAGGCTCCTCCCACTGCCCTGTGCTAGGTCACTTGCCCTGGGAGGCTCTGCTCCCCAGAACTTCCCTGATGTCGTGGCCCACACATGCTGACATGTGTGCCCAGCCCACCCCTCTTTATTCTCTCTGTGGTGTTACCATCATTTGTGGTCTTCTGTCACTGGGATGTCACCTGAGGGCACCAGGGTCTCACTCCCTGATGCTGGCTCCTGGCCTAGCCCTGCCTGCAAGGTCAGTTTTCAAGGCGTTGAACACTTCCCTCGGCAGCACTGCCCTTCCCAGAAGTGACAGGGGCTCCTTGCACCCTGGTGATGATTCGCAGGTTACCACCTCTAGCCCCGGCTCCCTTCCGAGTTCTGGACACTTCTGAGAGCCAAGGAAGTCCGCAGATGCTTTCAATGTCGTCCTGGTGATCAGTGACCGAGTGAGCGGCTTTCTCTGCACCCTCTTTTTTTTCTGCCCCTGTGTGGCTCAGGCCCACCACACCCTCTGCCTTCCATTTGGTCCTTGAATCTTCTGTCCCAGGTGTCCTGCTCTGACCTGTCCATGACCCTTTGAAACTTGCCCAAGTCGAAGCCATCCCCTCCTCTCTGTGTCTGTCCCTCTGTTTACAGGCCCTGGTCAGCACCAGCCTCGTTGCCCAGAGCCTGTTGGGCTACCTGCCTGCTTCCCAGCTACTCCCTCCTCCAGGGCCCTGACCGGGCTGGCCTGGCTGGCCTTCCGTCAGGGTCCACCTGCTGTCACTGTTCATAGACACCTCTCTGCTACTCAGTGGAGTTTAACTGCCACTCCCGCAGGTGTGTGGTCCAGGGGGTGGAGGAGGGAGGATCCTGGACCTGGGCCTCTATCTGAACAGCTCTGAGCAGTGGTAGGACATTGGTTTATTTATAGACACCGGCTATATTAATCGGAAGAAAAAATTTGCTTTTTTTTTTTTTAAAAGAAAATCTCAGATTTAGAGATTGTGGTGGAAATTCACAGATATCAGTGTTTTAAGCGTGCAGGCCACATGCAGTTGAGTGTTGTCACCTAGCTCTCGCCAGCTCCCACACACGGCTCGGTCTGTATTTCTGGGGAGGCGGAGCCCACAACAGACCTCTGGCCCTTTTCTCAGCTGAACTGTGGACTTGGCAACTAGTAAAGTTGGACTCATGAGGTTCCTGCTGCCTGGGGTGCCCTTCTCCCCCTTGTCTTCCTGGAAAATAATTTTAAAAACCTGTCCTGCCTCCTTCAAGCCCAGGGGTCCTGACCACCCTGTTCCCCTCTGGCCTTCCCACGGCATTTTTATAGGCTAATACTTGTATCATGGACAAGTACCTGTATCCACCCCTCACTCTTGGCTGCAAGACCCTGCACTGGCTGTGTCTGTGACTCTAGGAGTGCACATTGCAGTGCCTGGCACACAGTAGGTGCTTAGCGAGGTTGTGCAGGCTTCCATGTTGGGTCACAGGGGTGAGCTGTCACATACCGTCACCAGTCCTGCCTCGTTGGGTTAGCTGCACCAGGTCTGTGCATCTCAGTGTGAAAGTTCCTCCTGCACTTCCATCAGGGCCACCAGGCTGTGCTAATTAGAATGCAAGACCCCAGACCCGCTCCATCAGCCCTCGCAGAGGCAGCTGGATTTACAGCCAACACCTCAGGCCTCCACACTGGGGAGTCCCTGCTCTGGGTATTGACCGTACCAGTGGCCATTACTGTGGTGGGAGAGGAGATGGCAAAGATGGCTACAACAAGTAGCCCCAGGAGGGACAGCTCACATGCCATGTGTTTCAGTAGCATCGGCAGACGGTACAGAGAGGCATGAGCGATAGGGACCCTCCTTACAGGGAGCGGGAGGTGCTTCTGGGGGCAAGCAATGGTGTGGCCCATACAGCAGACCTGACATGGGGAGGTGAGGTGGGCTTCCCAGGGACCCCAGACTCATCTTTATTCACAGAGCAGCCTCCAGGAGTGAGGCCAGGGGAAGAGGCTGTGTGGTGGGCCACAGTGTGCAGGCAGAGTGGCTCTGCTGCCGCTTCTCTGGCTTCCTCCTCTTTTTGCCCTCTGAAATCTTAAAATGGCCAAGGATGTTATTCTGAGTTACTCTGGATAGATCTCTCTGGCAGGAAGAAGCCGTCCCCTGGGGACTCAGCCTTTCCCACTGCGGGTCAGCGGCTGCTTCTTACAAAATGGCCAGGGGCCTCCAGTGGCCTCACTCGGGAAGGTCACTAATCCCTAGTGGGTAATATTGCAGGTGGCATTTACTCTCTCGAACCCAAGGCTGTGGGCGAGACTTAAGCTTTAGCACATGGGATGCTGCAAGGGTCAGCCTTCTTTAGCTGATTTGTAAATCTCCATGTTTATTTGATTGTTTCCTCTCCATCTCTCATGCTCCCTTCCACCCAGACTGGGTACAGAGGGTGAACTGTTTATCAAGCTGGAAAGAGCCTCAGGGGCTACCGCCAAGGAACTATGTGATGGACCAGGAGTGGTAGGAGATGGAGGGATCAACACCGAATCAGCATGCAGAGCCAAACCCTTGGATGACACGGGTCGTCTCGACAGATGCATTATTAGCTGTCAATAACAGGCTCGGATGAACTTCGTATGTGACTCATCCCCCAACAGGAAGCTGATGTAGCCGCAAGCCACAGATCTATCTAAAAGTGATTATAGTGACAGCTTCTTTAATGGAGTGAATGATGGACGAGGGGCTTAGTAAGGCAGCTGGGCCTGTGCAGACTCTCCCCCGGCCAGCAGAGCTGGGGTGGATGGCAGTCCACAGGAGCCTGCCTTTAAAGTCTCCCCCGAAAGTTTGGTTCTCTTGGCTGAAAGGAAACCATCTCCCATCTGAGGTGAAATGTTTTCATCATTCTTTATTTTTTTTCCACAAAATATTGTGTGCATGCACCCTGGAGGCTTGTGTCCGGAAAGGAGGCATACCATGCTGTGTGACATCCTAAGTGTCTCTTTCCAGTGTGCACTGTTGGCAGGAAGTGTGCGTCACTCCTGCGTGTTCAGCATGGGGGGAAGCCCTGTGCAGAACCAGCCACAAAACCCTCGTCATATGAAGTAGGAGGACTCCACAACCCTCCCAGGAGGAAGAAGGGACCCCACAGAAGTAACTTATCTGAGGTCACACAGCAATAAAAAGATCAGAAACAGTCTTTGCATTAAGGACTGCATGACCCCAAGCACCAGGGTCCCCGACCCCCCCGAACACTGCTTCCCTATGCCTATGAATGGTGCATGGAGCATAATTCTCCCCAGCCCCAAACGTGGGAACTGGGCCTGCCACTGAATTTCACAGATGGGGAGACGGAGGGCCAGTGACATGGGAGATCATTAAGCCAGGGACCCCCTGCTTCAGAATTTGCAGAGAGCCTGCCCGAAAACACATGTTGGAGTCTGTTGCAGACTCTCCTTCGGGGCAATGGGGCTCCTGTCCTGAGGTTCTGGTTTTACCAGCTGAGCCCAGGAGGACAGTGAGGGCTGCGTCCTTCTTACGATGCCGTCACTCACGGGTCTTCCCCTCTGGGCGCCTTGCACTGGCCTACACCGGCCGGCGCATCTCAAATCGAGGGTCTGGAGGTGCATCTCTAACGAGCTTCCAGCTCTAACGATGGTGCGTGGTGACTGATCACACCCTCAGTGACAGTCAAGTAGGTGTGAGGAGGCTTGCTCGGTGCCCACTTTCTCAGAGGCCCCTCCAGGTTTTCAGATGGCTGGTGTGGGGTGCCACGGCCTCTGCAGCTGGCCAGGAGCTCACAAAGCCCCCTTGTTCTTGAAAGCTGGGGCTGACGGAGAAGGCAGGGTAGGAGGGTGCAGGGCAGCTGGGGCTGTGCTGGGTGCAGAATGTGTTGGTGGCCCCAGGGGACGTGTCCAGGGTGGCTCGTCCTGATTCAGGCCCTATCTCTGCAGCTGCGATTACACATCTGGGCAGGCTCCCATTCCACCCTCAGACTTGGTTTCCATACCTGCAAAGTGGGGTTCCAGTGAGACAGTGTGTGCCTGTGGGGCTGGATGAGTAGTCCTCTCATTTATCGGGCACTTGGCATTTCCTAAATAAGGAAGCAATGAAATGCTCTCAAGCATTGGGGACTTAAATCAAGCTAAGAGTTTCATCCTGACCGTGCTCAGGGACCTGCTTTAATGAGGAGCGCACGGGATTTGTAAACAGCTCGTTGCAGTCTTGTGTGTAAGTGGGGCTTAGGGGCCTGGAAACCACCGCAGGAACAGTTGGTCCAACATTATTGAATTTCCTGCCTTCTCCTGTCTCTCCAAATGAGAAGGAAGTCGCACCAATCTCACATAGAGCTTAAGATGCATTTCCTATGACTCTGTCAAGCTCGAGAGATGGCAGTAATTTCAAGCTAGAGCTGGGAGCTTTGGTCTTAAGTAACATAGGCAGTTCCCCGATGCTGTACGTCCATCATCTGCTGGGCCCACCAAGGTCCTCTCCTCCCATGCACTGACCTGCAGAGCTTCTGAATCAGCCCTATCCACGTGGCGATGGCCTGCGCTGTGGCTGAGTCCCTGGGCTCAGGGAGGCTGCTACCTGGCATGCTTGCTTTTCTGACGCTGTATGTTGGAGGTCCCCAGCTGTGCATGTGACTCTCTTAGTCTCCATCCTTCTGCCTTGCACCTGTCTGTCCATCTCAGAGCTGATGATGGCCGTGTCCCCAGGGCTACGTGGGAGGTGTTCAGAGGCATGTGTCAAGCCCTGTGCAACATTATCTCACGTGATCCAAGCAGCACGGTAGTTGGTGGAGGTTTCTGGAAAGAGAGTGAGGGTCAGACTGGTCCCACAGCTGCTGAGTGGCAGAGCTGGGACTCGAACTCAGACCTGCTGATTCCTTTCAGTCCCCAAGTCCCCTGCTTTCACCTGTGGGTGGCCCTTGTTTGGTGCTTTATCTTCCTCTGTTGTCTGGCCCCCAAACACAAGGTCGTGGAGTTGTGGTCCCCCCAGATTGTGCTGCTCATTTCCCATTGGGGTGCCCTTATCTCCAGGGATCCTGGCATCTCTGCCCCGCTCCTCCCAGCAGAGTGGCAGACACCTGGTGTTGGAGGGTGGGCCTGGGAGGGAGGTGATCTCAAAGGGGGCAGAGAGGGGCTGTGAGGCCTGCTGTGGGGGAACACCCCGTTGACAGTGCCGGTTGGGTTTTTGTGGGAGACGGCCTCGTCCGCGGGGCCGATCATAGCACCAGAGCCAGACAGCGGAAGAAGAACCCAGATCTGCTACTAAAAACAGGCTCGCAAGCCTTGGCCTCCTCATCTGTGAAGTGGGGGTAGTGAAACAGTCCAGCAGGATTTCTGGAAGCAGTGGAGATGACCCGTGGTCAGTGAGAGCAAGCCTTTGTGTAGCGCTCTCAAGCGGAGGGGAAGTGTTGGTGGGCGATTCAGATCTCTTACCCTGCGCTGTCCAGGGGACCTTTGTCTTTCTGAGGCCATGTTCTGGGCTCCACCTGTGGGCTGTGTAGAATTCAGAGCAGGTGCAACGTGCTGGTCCCTGATTCTCGGCTACCCCTGGCTGTGGCCCCGTCTTCCAGGAAGGGACACAGGCAGTCTGTATTCCCCTCTTGACTTTCCTACCTGCCTTCACTCTTCCAGGCAGATGAAGAGGTCTGGGCCATTGCTTTTTTGCCTTTGGGGAGATCTGAGCAGGAGAGAGGGTTCTAGAAGTTTGAGAGGGTGCTAGGAGATACACCCCATGGCAACAAGGGCTTTGTCTAGAAGGGTCACCACAGGACCCCAGCAGCTAAAAGAGGTGTGCCTCCTATCTTTGCCGAGTGGATTTTAAGCCTCTGAGACTGTGGCAGGCCTGCAGTAGCGGGGCTCAGCTTGGGCACTGAGGACTTTTGGACCAGGTGGTTCTCCATCACCAGGGCTTTGTGTCCTGTGCTGCGGGGGGGTCAGCAGCAGCCTGGCACGCCCTCCACCGTGCAACCAAGCAGTCTGCAGAGATGGCCAAAGATCCCTGGGGCGCAGTGTCACCCCTGAGTGCCATCCCTGGGCAGCCAAGCCTGATCAGCAGAAAGAGGGTTTCGATTTGGGTTCTGTTGGAGTCTGGGATTTGTAACATGAATGATCTCTTAAAGATAAGAGAATATCCTGTGTGCGTGTGACACTAGGAAGACGTCTCTTTCACTGACATCTGTCACAAACCCTGGCTTCTGGCGGTGACAGCTGACTGGTAGAGTGGCCCCAGAGAGAGTGTGGCTGCCTGCCTCAAAGCCGTGGCCCCTCCCACACTCAGCACTGCTACCTTAGGAAGCAGACATGGGACCCAGCGTGGCTTCTGGCTCCACTCTGATTCAGCAAGCCCAGGACAGACCAGCCAGCTTACAAGGCAGACGGTTTAGAACTCTCAGATCGCCTGCCCTTTTAAAATGGCTTCGGTGGCTATGGCCCAGTTTGGCTTGTGAAAGAAGTCTGAGGCTTGGGACTGAGGTATGAGCATGTTGGTGGTTTCCAGTGACCGTCCGAATCAGACGTGGTGACACAGGACACCAAGCCTCCTGCTGGCCAGCCGAGCCTTGCAGTTCTGACATCATTGTCCTGGTATTTTGCAACCTGGCTATTTATAAAACTTCCCAGCATCTGGAAGGAACCTCTAAATCATGAGTTCAGCCTCTTCCAGGAAGAAGTTAGGGAACTGAGTTTCTAGGGAACCTGACAGATCTCCTTGTTCGCCCCAGGGCTTCCTCACCGAGGATGTTCAAGTGTCAGTGCGAGACAGGCCTTCAGTGTGATCCTGTTGCCTTATCTGAGGACTCTCCCAGCCCTTCTGTGTTGGAAAGACACAGTTAGTACTGTTTCCTCTAAGAAAATCATATGGTCACAATCTGGCATTAAAAATGGGATTCAGAAAAACTAGAGGCCTTCCTGAGACCATGCCAAGAATCCACTGCAAAACACCTAGAAAGTTAAGTGTAGGGCTGGGGCCAAGTTCAGGGTTGACACGTGGTCAGCACACGCAAGACTCTGCTTCTATCCTCAGCACAAAACCCCAGTGTCTCTGCGACTTGATGGGCCAGCTCAGCAGCCTGGGATGGGAGCAGAAAATCCACAGGTGACCTGTATTCAGATCCAGCTTGTGTGCCCTGGGGCAAGCTATGAAGCCCTCTAACTCCAGCTGGCTCATCTGCACAGTGGTCATAAGTAACACTGACCACTGCATGAGCAGAATCGCCCAGGGTTCAGCGCTGAGTCGAGGTCAGATGCTTAGCACGTGTCAAGGACTTGGCACTACAGGGCTGGGGTGCACCCAGCATCGTGGTAGTGTGCTGGCCTGGCATGCACAGGCCCTGCGTTTGAGTCCCAGCAGCATTTAAAAAAAAAAAAAGAATTTAGCACATACGAATTAGCGGGTGGCATTGTTATAATAGTAAGTCTGGAAAGGGCTTTTATTCCACGGGTTTTTCCTGGGGTCTGGAAACTTCATATCTTCACAAACAGTACAACTGAGCAAACCTAATGCTCTGGAGTAATTTTCCCCTGCGCTGGACTAGGAGGAAAAGACCAGACTGGAGACAGAGCCACTTGGGAAGAGGCATCGGAAAAACATCGGTTCATTGATGATTTTTTAAGTTAAATGATAATATTCTCATATAGTATTTGCTGAAAGTGACACAATCCTGTATGAAGTATAACTTAAAAGTCGGTAAAAATTTGAACTACATCCTCTCCAAAATGAAAAAAATGCGAAATATGATCCTATCCTTGAGGTCTAACTCCCTCCCCCGTGTACAGCTAGGGATAGAGTCCTGTGTGTATTCTGTTGTATGCTTTGGGGGACCCAGGAATATATGGGTTTTTTTTTGGGGGGGCGGGGGCATATTTGCTGGAACAGTCCAGCCAGACATTTAAAAGTAAGAAAACTGTATTGGAATAAATACCAAGAGATTTTCTGTCATAGCAGTAGAATTTTCATGGAGCGCTCTATTCAGAAGGAATGAGTATAATTTTCATTTTCTTCCCCATAATCTTTCATAATATAAACCAAAAAAGCTAAAAATTCCCATTCAATCGCCAAGTGTTATCTACCCAACTCGGTGCCTCAGCAACCACAAGCTCATCGCATCCGCAGCTGCTGAATTTCATCTGGGGTCCAGATCAGTAGCGAGGGGGTTTGGCACCTGGCTCTTTGCCACTGTGGAATGGTTGTTTTAGGCGTTAGCTCTGGGAAAAAAAATATACAATCGTGATGGTAATAGTGGAGTTGCTTTTTAAAAGCAAAAATCAGGCAAATATAATCACAACCAGAAAAGAGTATTGTAACACAGTGCCCCAGCGCCTTAGGGTAGATATCTCCAGACCCAAGCCCTGTGAGGTCCCTTGTGCCCCAGACTGGCCCATTAGGTCCTCATTTCTGACCTCCAGACTTCCAGGCACGAGTCTCTGTAGCCTGCCACGCCACCCTGCCCCGGCGTGCCCCTTGCCATCTCCTCTGCCTCTGAGCAAACCTGTGTGCTGTGTGCATCTCCAGCGTGCAGCGGCTAACCAGTGTCCATAAGGCGCGACATGCAGGGGTTCTGGGAGATGTGTCCCTGGGCTGGTGCTGGTTCCTCCTGCAGAGGTGTAGATCTGGAGGAGCATGGAGTGGGGGATGAATTCTGACCCCTGGATTGGCCCCCAGCTCTAGCATGAATGCTGGGAGCCACAGCGGGGCCAGGAACGCAGAGCCTGAGCATCTAAGGATCCCTGCAACCACCTGGCCGCACCCCCAGTCCCGGGAAGTGGTGCCTGGTGGAGCCCTTCCCATCCCCTGGGTGTGCTGATGACTAAATGTGTAGAATGTTGCCATCTGGTGGAGCATAGAGCACACTAAGGAGGAAGGCACTCTGACCACGGCCGGCACAGCCTGCTGCAGAACTAGCCTCGTCCCTTCTGAAGGCAGGCGTCGGGAACCTGCCAACTCAGGTGACTCAGGAGAGCGGTCGTTTAGTGATAGGCCCTTAGAGCAGCATGGCCCTGCGGTTTCCCAGGGGTGTGTGGTGTGACCACAGGTCTGCAGACGCCCGCAGGGGACGGCCCTCCAGCTCCTGTGTCTCTGCTGTAGTGGGCAGTGTCTTCTCTAAAGCCCTGGGCAAAACGCTGGGTGTTGCTGGGTTGTTCTAGTGTATTTTACAAACACAGCTCTTCCCAGTGCCTTTCTTCTTTCTGTCCCTTGTTTTCCCTCTGCAATTTCCTCTGAATGAAGATGCTCATTTTTAGGAGAAGCAAACATGGTCTTCACAAACAAGAAGTTCATGGTTTTCATTCTAAGGAGCACCCCTTGAGTGTCCGAATCTGTGGTCTTAGACCTGACTTGTATTAAGAGCTGCGGAGGGTGTTGTGGACTCTCGGGCGCACGCTGACCTGTCTCTTTGCCTCTCTGTTCCTCTGCTGGCGACTGCCTAGGTCTCTCCCTGGTGCCACGGCCGCCGAGTGCGCCTCAAATCTGAAGAAAATCTACACAGTGCCAACAGTGCAGGTAAGAGCCACAGAGAGGTGTGCTGGGGACCCTGGACACGTGCTGTGACACTGTAGTGCTAGCCAGCGGCAGCCCCCGCCCCGGGCTGTGTGAGGAGTGCGTGAGTCGCGCATCAGGCCAGATGTGGCTCGTGGTAGGGCCCTTGCCTACAGGCACGAGGCCCCGGTGCCAGCCCGGCTCCACAGGACGGGAAAGAAGAAAGGGCTGGTGCCACAGTTGGCAGAACATCGAAGACACCTCAGGTGCCCGCAGCCGTGTGGTACCATCAGTTCTCAGTCCAGCTCTGGAGGCCAGTGTTTTCTAAAGCCTAGTTATTTAATGGGTCTCGTTTCTGGTTTCTTTACAAGCAGATCCTACCAGGTTCTCTCCTCGCCTGATGTTGCTGCTCCTGCTGCGGCAGAACGTGTCTCTGCAGCCGGCTTCAGGCTGTGCTGACCAGTCCTGGGGGTTTAGAAGGCCCGACTTCAGGCTGTGTTGACCAGTGACCTGGGTGTGGCTTCAGGCTGTGCTGTCCAGTGTCCTGGGGGTTCAGAAGGCCTGGGTGATAAAGAGCTTTCCTGCTATGACCCTTCATCTCACCGTGTCTCAGAAACCCCAGCGGGTGGGCATCTGGGTTGTTTCCCTCAGGCACTTTCCCGTGGCCACTGAGGGCAGCGGGCTGGTGGAAGGACAGTCCCCACCTCTGGCCATTTCTTCTCTAGTTGGGAAAGTGACATCAGCACATGGAAAGCAAAGGGAAGGGAGAGTGCCATTGTAAACAGTCGCCAGGTGCCAGGGACAGGCAGCGCCATGGGCAGTGCGGCCCCTCTAGAGAAAGGAGCGCCTCATGGCCTGGGAGGACCCCCCTCCCGCTGCCCCTTCTCTGGGTCTGCGACATCGCCACCTCTCCCCAGCCACTCTGTGAGCCTCAGAGCACCCACCTTTGAGGCCCGTCCTCCCCTGCGGTTCCTAGGTACTGTGGCTTTCCTCCCCGTCACCATGTCAGAATGGTCAGGACCCCAGGGCAGCGCTGGTTCAGGCAGCAAGGAGCAGATCACAGGGTGCTGTGCTGTGTCTGCTCTCAACCCAGTAGACATCGAGGGATGGAAGGGACGAACGAGAGCATCACAAATGGACCGCTTTCCAGGGCCACAACAGGTCGTCCTCATGAACATCTCTCCATCTGCCAGGCATGGTGGTGCACGCCTGTAATCCCTGCAGTTTGGGAGGCTGAGGCAGGAGGATCACATGTTTGAGGCCAGCTTCTGCAATTTAGCAAGGCCCTAAGCAACTTAGCAAGACCCTGTTTCTAAATTTAAAAAATAAAATAAGAAAAGGGCCAGGGATAGATGTGGCTCAGTGCTTAAACACCCTTTGGTTCAATCCCCAATACCACACACACACACACACACAAAACAAAACAAAACACCGCTGTCTAGGGCCATACTCTCTCGATGGAGGCAAATATTGGTTCTTAGAAGGTTGGGGAACAAGCCTGACACTGTGGCATAAAACATGGACAGGCCTTATGCGTTCTGTGGAGAGAGGTTCAGTCTCTCTGTGGCTTTGATACTCCGTCAGGATGGTAAGGAAAAGGGCTTCTTCAGGGCAGTGGTGGAGGTCCACCGTGAAGGGAGAGGCTGGGCAGCCTCCTGAGTCCGAGGTCGCTGTCTGCCTCAGTTTCCCCATCTGTACAATGAGGTGTCAGCAGGGCCTGTGCCTACACACCGGGTTGGAGGAGGGCCAGATGGGACCAGTCGGGTACTTTGCAGGGCGTGGCCCTCAGGAAGGTCGTGTCTTGCCAGCTTTTACTCAGGGGCTCCTGACTCCGCACTCTGCTTCAGTGGTGGACTGACGTGGGCTGGGCACAAGGTGGTCATGCTGCCCTGATTCCTGTGCCCCACCTGGCACCCTGCAGCTTGGATGAGGGACTTGGCCTCTCTGTAACCCTTTACTCATCTACAGAAGGGAAGAACCACAATAGTGACTCCGCCTGCTGTTGGCAGAGGGCCACGGGCCGTAGGTCAGGCACACGGGAAGTGTCCCAAGGACCATGGAAAGCCCCTCTGCCGTCATTTGTGTCCCCTATTGTGACAGAGTCCTTGCAGCAGCCTGACCCTGGGGACTTAGCAACCAGCTGCTGCCACCCACCCTCAGGAGAGTCCAGTTAGCAGAGACGGTGGCCAAGCAGGAAGCACCCTATTTCAGTGTGGTCATGTAGGGCGACAGCTGGTCTAGCGCCCTCCTAAGGAACCTGTCACCTGGTTCTGGCCACAGCTCCAGGACCACACAGGGAAGGTCAGCAGTGGAGAGCCGAGAGGGCTGACGGGCAGCAGTGCGGCTCAGCCTGGCTTGGTTTGGCCAGCCTGTGTCCGGCTGGTGCCCAAGCAAGGGGTCACTTTCTGCTCCCAGCATGGGATGCTGGCCTGCAGGAAGCCAGAAGGACAAAGCAGAATGAGAACAGGTTACAGACAAAGCAGAGGCAGTCTGCACCATGGCCAGGTCTTCCTTGTTATCCCCCGAGGGCTCCAGTCCCCGACACATGCTGGGGCATCTTCTCCTACTTCCCCAACCATGCTTTACGTAGAAGAAATGTGTGCCTCTGTGTCCGGTGGTCCCTTTTGGTCCATGGTGCCCTAGATTGTACATCTGACTTACCCATAGATCAGGGAGGTCAGCCCCGAGTGTCCTTAAGCTCCCAGGAGTGGTTGCTGATGCTCAGGAGCTAGGCAAGTGCTGGCCTTAGAGTCACCTGCAGACCCACTGTCCTTGCCTTCTGTGACTGCATGCCAACGCTTTAATTCTGTGGGCACTGACCGTCTGCCTGCCTCATCCCGTCTGATCCCTGTATGTGTGCACCTCATTACATTTAAGAAGCACCTGTTGTTAATGAGCGCTTCACATCAAGACGTGATCCATCCTTCTGTTCCCTGAGGCCCTTCTGCAAACCCAAGTTCAAGGGGTGAGGGAGGAATTCTCATGCCTATTTATCGTTGCGGAGACCGAGGATGGGAGGTCAGTGGCCCAAATGTCCAGAGGGAGCACCCGGTCACACTGTGCCCATGGGGCCAGACTCCTCCGCCCCAGCTCAGTTCTCTTTCACTCCCCTGACCGAGCGGTGACCTCAGAGGACCCCCTGACACCTCACTGCAGCCAGCAGCTTCTGTCCACCTAGAGTTGAAGTTATTTCCCTTCTCCATCTTGGGAAGCTCCATGTTCTGCGCAGGGTGTTTTCTGGTGCTGATTCCATCTCCAGCTTCTCCGGTGGTCTGTGTCCTTGGTGGGTGCAGCACGGAGCCAAATGTGACTTCCAAGCATGCCCAGGCTTCCGTGTGGCACAAGGCAGAGTTTCCTGCTGGGTGAGACTGGCAGGGAAGGACTCCCTCGTCCCCAGGGTCTTTCAGCCTTGCCTGTCACAAGACTGAGAAGTCCTCCCTGAAAGTACTGTGGCAACCTCAGCCAAAGTTTGCTGGGTCACCTCCAAGACCAGCCACACCTGTCCCACGTGCCTATGTGCTACCCGGTATTCCTCCCAAATGGACTCTTACCTTAAATTGACATAGGATAGAAACTCCTATTTCTTCTATTAATAGAATCTCAGCATCGTTTATCATAACCAGAAAGTCTTCCTAAACAACCTGTGCAGCCTGTTAACACGGGAGGGCAACTTGTCCTGTGCGTGGCCAGTGACATCCAGACTTCCTCCCCTCTGGGAGGCCCGTCCGCCTGGCTGAGGAGTTGGTCTGTGGAAGGCCGTCAGGTTAGGGCCTCAGAGGCTCTCCCTGAGCTGCAGGCTGGTTGCTAACAGAGGGTTCTCAGGCGGCGGCTGCTTCCTGCCTCCTTATGTGGAGAAGGATGCACTTCCTGCCTTCAGAAGCCCACTCCTGCCCTCACGGCAGCTCCTGTGTCCCGAGAATTGGGGGAGGGTGCAGATAGGCAGCCCATACAGGGGGCAGCACGTACCAGTTCCTCTCCTTCACACCTCCAAGCCCAGGCACCATGGCCTCCTCCCAAGACCCAGTATAAGGAAACGTGATCGGATAGGAGGGTGCGTACCTTGGACTGCGTCAGGAGAGGGTCCACTGTCATGGCCATCTACGTTGACCTACTCCCCAGGCCTCCCGTGGGAAGACCACTATCCAGGTCCCCTCCCCTCGGTGTGTCTTGCTCAGGTTACGACAAAGTCATTTAGTTGACAACAGAATACCAGTGACCGTAAAGCTGTACCTGTTTTGGATCCTTCTGTGTGAAAAAAGTCATATTCCAATATATAATAAAACCCACGTGAATGTAGTCAAACACACTCATCTAATTTTTCAAGTGGAGTCTTCAGAAGTATAAAAAGATCTAATTGCCGTAGCAATGCAAGTTAACTGGACAAACTTAAACATTTATGCACTAGGGGGAAAACATTTTTTTCACAGTGTCAGTTGATAATTTCTTTTTCACAAAACATTTCTTTTGCGTGTGTTTCAGGTTTATGACTTTATGGAGTAGGACTCACAGAGGTAGGGCAGTGTTTACTGCAGCGAAACCCAGATGCATTTTTTTGTTCCAAGTGCAGACAGAATCCACTTACTGAGGGAAAACCCCAGGTACAGCCTGGTAGCTTCAGCCCTGTTGTGGTATTGCCTTCCTAGATTCGTGTGTGGACAAGTTGCATGGAATGCTCACTAATAACACGGCTTCCTGACGGACAGCCCGGGCCCCGCATTGGCAAGGAACACGCTTTAAAGTCATATTACATTCTCTAGCAGAAACTCAGAAGGGATACTGAGCAAAATGTGTTTCAAAAGGATAGGATTTAATGTGACTTGGCTTGGTGAATCATGACTGGGTCTGTTAAACAAATCGTCTTCTCTCTTAAAGATATTCTGGAGTGTGTACAATAACATCCCCCCTGTGACCAGCCTGCCTTTGAGATGTAGTTACCACTTAATGAGAGGAGAGAGGCGACCGCTTTGGTAAGTGTCTAACTTGTGACTTGAGGTCACAGTGGGAGGGAGATGGCTGGGGACCTCGGGAGACATCTTTTCACCTGCGTGTCTTTCACGTGGACCCTGAGCAAGCCTGTGATTCTGGCTGTGGCCCAGGGTCTTAATAGCTTAGAGGGTGGGACCCTGAGTTTGCCCAGGGTCAGAGTCTCAATTAGCAGCAAGTCCTGCCTCAGACCTTCCTCTGGTCTGCTATGTTCTCACCATTCACAGGAAAATGATTCTCAGCTCACTTGGTAGCAAACACAGAAACCTAAATGGAGTCCAAAGTGGATTTTTCTGGCGCCCCTAATCCAGTCCCCTGGTCGGGGTCATCCCATGGTTCAGATCCCGGTCTGCAGCTGTTACCAGCCCTCGATGCTCTCCTGGAGCTTTCCTGGTTGGGTGGGTTTCAGGTGGCCTCCTATTTGTGGTGACAAATGGCCTTCGCAGGCACCCCACAGACACGACTTGGAGTGTCAGCTGGGGCAGTATGTTCATCCTCCGTCCCCCGGGGGTCCAGGCAGCCTCAGCACCACCTCCTTGAGATGGGGGACCCTGTTCCGACACACTGCCTGCCCTGGCCTCTGCTTTCTGCCCTCTGTACCCCACCCCTTCCAGTTCAAGGACAGGGGAGCTTACCCAGGACGCCCGCAGGCTCTGCTTTTGAGGTCATCAGTGTTCAGGCAGCACAGGCAGCAACGCCCCTTCTCAGCCAGGCTGAATTGTGTGCCATGGGTGTAACTGTGGACGTTGCTCTTTGATCCAGGGAAGAGGACAGTAATGCCAAGGGCGGCGTCTGGAAGATGAAAGTCCCCAAGGACAGCACGGTAGGTGGGTTCCGTCACTTCCCAGAGCGGGTGCACTTGGGGTTGCCGGGGCTGTGTGCTGGGGTGGTTTGGGCTTTTCAGAAGCCGGCCTGTGGGTCTCCCGACAGGCTGGGGTGAGAGATTCCTCTCTGACCCAGGCGATGTTCCTCTTTACACTGTCACCTTCAAGTGTATCGCTGGGCCCTGTGTGGACATGGTGTGGGGGCAGTGCCCGCCCACATTGCAGACAGCCGTCGGTCTCTGCTGCAGTCCTTCCTCACTAGCCCAACTGACACGGAGAAGTTGGTTTTCCCAAGAGGGATGCAGGATCCCTGTCTTCAAGACTCCTCAACTCTGGACTGGAAGGCAAAGCACCCCTGAGAGTGACCACAGGGTGCAGGACAGGCTGTGCATCTTGACCTTCTCTGGGTCTTGGGAGGCTGTTCCTGGCCTCTCCCAGAGGCCTGGCAGAAGGCTGATTTGAAGAAGCCACACCTCAGGAGCCTGGGTTTTCCGGGTGTGGGAGTGGGCTCCAGGTCTTCGATTATCTGAAAATAAACATGGGCATTAAAAGTGTCTGTCTTCAGCCCCAGGAAAGCACAGAGCTTCACCAAAAATGGACAAAGGGAAAGAGCTGCCCAGCCTCACCTTTAATGGAGAAGCTCCAAGATTGAAATGTCGCTGGGAATCCTATGTCTGAGCTGGAGCAAGTTCCCGTAAACCCAGACTTAACGATAGGACCGAATTCACCTGTCGGGGTACCAGCCATCGCCCGGGTGTGCACCTCCAAGATGTGTTACTAGTCATACTTGACAAAGATATCAGAGGAACAAAGGACACACGAGGCCGGCCTACAAGCCCCCCACCACCTCACAGAGACCGCGGGAATGAAAGGAGGGCGGAATCTTAGGTTTTGTTCTTAGATTTCACAGAGAATTCTGTTTTTCTGGGCTGTTGACGCACTAGACCTTGAATTCTGGAGGAAGCAGCCCTGCTGTCCGGGTCCACTGTCCTTGCTAGCCCCTGGGCCACACTTGGTCCCAGAGAACCTTTCCTGTGCCTGGAGCCCAAGCAACTGGACCTGCTGGGCCCTGCTGCCCAGTGGAAGTCTGGTGGGCCCGCCCTGCCCACAGGCTGAACAGGAGTGGGCATTCCCCTGCCCTGGATCTCCACCCACCCGGCCTCGTCCCCAACACAGCACAGGGCCAGAGTTGCACAGGTAAAAGGTGGAAGAGAGGACTTCCAGAGGGGAGGCCAGTAGATGAGGAGGGACGGTCTAGGGAGAGGGGAAACCTCCTTGAGGGTGGGGGGCCACCTTTCAGCTCCCGGGTGAAGGGCGGTGGCTTGGTTAAAGGGCGCGCTGCCGTCAGCTCCCAGGAAGTACCAAACACCCACCATCACACTGAGTTACTGTGTGTCCAGTGCCTGGCCCAGGGTGCGCCTGCAGCTGTTGAGGGGACCATCTTGAAGGTGGCGCTGTGTCCTGGTGATCTCGGTGCTCAGCCATTGGATGCCTTTCACTAATGGAGGCCACTCTCTCAATCCCCAGAGGTCAGCCCCATTGTTACTGCCCTGTTCACCCATGGAGACGGATGCTCAGTCCCTTAACCTGCCCATCCGCCTCTGAGGATCCAGGAGGGGAGACTACAGAGTGCTAAGATATGGCCGGACAAAGGGGACCAGCTTCTCAAGGGGAGGAAGGAAGAGGGCTGGTGGGCCTCCAGGGCCTGAGTGGACGTTAGACGGTGTCAGTGGATGTGGGCTGGCCGAGCTCTAGCACTTCCCATGGCCAGGAGGCAGATAGGGCATGGACGAGTTCTTCCAGTGAAATCGCACAGTCACACCTAAACCTGCCACTCAGCATGGACCGTCTGTGCCGAGAGAATGGGACTGTGGGAGTCCCTAGGATCCGGCGAACTTGAACTCCCTTCAGTGTTCTTTCCTGGGGTGACCTTTGAAGTGCTTCATCAGGTGCAGGGAAAAAAGAGAAAGATTTTACCAGTAGCTCTCAAATACAATCACCTCAATTCAGGAAGAGGTAAAGAAACCGGAAAATGGCCGTTGTTGGAGCGCCTCCCACCCCTGCCCTTCTCCCAGCCTCACCAGGGACGCGCCAGCTGCTGGCTGGCACGACTTTGATCACTCATGTTTATCTGGGGAACGCTGATTGTGAACCAATGCGCCACGTGCCCACCGTAGGGTTTACCCGGCTGTCTGTGGGCTGCAGGTGTGGCCACGCGCGATGTGGGTGAAGAAGGGGCTGGGACTCGCTCACCTACTGAGCACAGTCATCTGAAACTGTGTTTTGTCTTTTTATTATGCTCCCACTTCAGTCCACGGTTTGGAAAGAGCTCCTGTTGGCCACCATCGGGGAACAGTTCACCGGCTGTGCAGCAGCAGGTAAGGGAGTGGCCACTCTGTCCTCCGCATTGTCAGCCTCCATCCCGCTGGCCGCCTGCACGTGGCTGTCCGTGTGGTACTCTTGTTGTATGTTTGGAAGGGGACAACTGGGGAACCGTGAAGTTATTGGCATTTTTGTTTTCATGTGACCACTGGGTTCGGTCTTGGGTATGGATGTCTGTGTGCGTGGGTGTATTGCCATATGTATACAGTCATCCAGGGGTTCTGACCCACAGATTCAATCAGTCACGGATCAGAAATATGGGAAAAGATGAACCGTGCCTGGATGGAACACACACTTCCTTTTTGCCTTGTACTCTTGAAAGGGTACAATGTAACTATTTGCATAGCATTGATGTTGCTATGTAACATAAACGTAAGTCACTGTGTAGTATCAGGGCCCTGGAGAGGATTTAAGGTACAAGGGGCTTATATGCAAGTACTGTGCTATTTATATGAGGGAATTGAGCATCCAAGGATTTTAGTATGGGGGTCCTAAAACCATCCCCTGCAGATACCAAGGAGTATATGCAGACCCGCAGGTGTGTGTGCACACACACGCACAAGCCTATAAGTATTTCCATACATAACTTCACAGTATCCACCACCAATTGTCCAAAATACGCGGAAAGAAAACACCCCTTGCCATCCGAGGGCCCTGGATGAATTGGTCTTCGTCTTCCCTGTCTCCTTGGTGTCTTCTGGAAGGGGAAGGTCCTTGGGTGTCCAGTAGGGTTTGTAGGGAGGCAGGGACCCTCCGTCCTGCTCAGTCCCTGCCCCTTCCTCTCATCCTTCCTGGCCTTTGCTCAGAGAGGACATTCACAGGGGCCGGGATGCACCCACTGCCATACCCCAGGGGTCCACACGGGGGCCCCATGAACACCCTTCTCCTTTTGGTGCTGGGGATGGAACCCCGGGCCTTGTGCAGGCTGAGCTCCTCCCTTGACAGGGCGCCTGCCCCTCGGCCAGCACTTTTGCTCTGTGTCCATGAGGAAACCCCACAGAGGACCCGGTAGGTGACTGGTAGAGTTTTTTTGGACCTTTTTCTAAAGGCTTGGGAGGTAGACCTTAGCATAACAGCTTCTCTGATCCGCCTGAATTCACTTAGGCCTTCAGTCAACTCTTATTTACCATCGTTCTTACTATTCCTTGCTGAAAGGCTTGCACAGTGGCCCTCGGGAGACTTCAGTGCGCACTCTGAGGCCCCCCCCCCGCCCCCTCACATCTCCAGCCCCTCTCCCCAGCAATCTCAGATATTTCCACTTTGTTTTGTTTACTTCTTCCACTACTTGTTATCCATGTGAGGCAAAGCTTTGGTGAAGGTAAAAGTGTCTTAAAAGTCGTGATTCCTTCCGGGTCCGCAGGGAGCATTAGCAAGTTTACCTTGGGCCTCCTGTGCATGACCTTGAGCACGTGGAGCCCTGGGAGAGGGAGCTTGTGCAGGAATCATTCCCATTTCCAGAACCAGGGAGAAGTCTAATAACTACCCAGCACTGAGTGAGGAGTCCTGCTGGGCCACGTCTGTCGCCTTTGAGTGGTGGCTCCTCCTGGCTGTGCTGTCTTGTGCTGCTGGTTGACTCCGTGTATGGACAGGGCTGGTTTGCTGGTGGGCCTGTGTGGGCTGGGATGTTTGACCACACTCTGGAATGGCCTGTGCTCTTAGCTACCAGGTCACCAGAGCCCAGCCCAGCCCAAACCCAGATGGTTCAGCCTGTTGGCACCCACCTGGTACCTCTCCTGCCGGCCAGTGGTGTAGAAAAGGCCGTCCTGAGGCCGGCATGCGCAGATTTCCCCAGAAGGCTGGTCTAGCAGCCTCTCCGCCTCTCCTGATGGTGGAAGGCCTCCCAGCCTCCCTCTTCCTTTGATAATTCTGTTTTTATGTGAAATGTATCATTGAGCTCTAGAAACTCTATATTTAAATGAGAACCACGTCTGAGGTTAGCCTCCACAGGAGGCAGGGTACGGTTTTGTGTGTTCTTTACACTTTTGTCTAAATGCGATGCACATACAAGGCCCACCCTTCCTAGAGTCTGGTAGATGTTCACAGAGTACGTACGTCCCGGTCACTAGCACACAGCCCCCAGAGCCTCCCCGCCAGTGCCCCTTCTTACCCTTGGTCCCATTCTGTCCGTTCCTGGACATCTCTGTAAGCAGTCAGTGTTGTACACATCTAGCCAGGTTCCACTGCGTTTACAAAGGAGAGAAGGAGGAGAGGGACAGGGAGAGGGAGGAATTGTTTGCTGAAGATGATTTGAGGAAGTTGGACAAGCCCTTATGGAACTCCTATTCAGATCCCCAGGTGGCCTAGCCTGCACAAGACCACGGAGAGAGCGGGGCATGAACACGTGGGTCTGCGGCCCAGCGAGCCAGGCGCAGCGTGTTTCCAAAGCAGAGCTTCCTCTTGGTGGTGGGCTTGTCTCCCACACATCCCCCACTGATGCCGAGCTCTTCCATGCCCTGCCGTGGACAGGAAGGCCAGCATCAAGGCCTGTGCTGATATTAACTTCCCTGCCTGTCAACCTCAGCAAAGGCTGAATACCAGTGATTAAACCTTGCTGTGTGGCCACCATTGGCGGTCCACGAGACAGCCCTGAATCTGGAATCAGATTCATTTAAAAAACAAAGCCAAAAATAAATAATATTTTTAAAAAATCCTTTGCTAATGCGTGCAGGCAGCCTCCGTGGCCATGCACTGAAGGACGGTGCCAGCTGAGCCTCAAGGAGTGTCCCTCCAGCTCCATACACAGTGCTAACAGATGGTCCCTGGTTCTCAGTCCACCCTTCAGTGCAACCCGAGAGAGCCGGAGGGAGGCACAGAGGGCGGGAAGGGTTCCCAGGGAAGGAGCAGGCCAGCCACAGAAAGCAGACGTACAGCTTTGCACTGGGGCAAAGGGACCAGCCACCTCAGGCTCTACCAGAGTGTGGCAAAGGGTCAGGACGTTCTTGTCAACTAGGCAAGGCATGAGGGAAGGGTTCACTTGAGTGCACTTGGCTTTCCGAGGGCAGGGATTGCGCAACCTGTTGCAGAGAAAGTCTCCTCCCTGGGTAAGAAATGGAAAGAAAGCTTTGGTGACAGGTTTAAAGGGCAAAATGACTTACCTGGAAAATGCATTGGGCTGGAGCACTTTATGTGAGCCCCCGGGGGGGATGAGACCACTGTGCCGTGCACACCTCTGCCTTCCCAGCTGTACCCCGTTAAAACAACTCCCCACGAGCTTCCGAGACCCCACTTTCCCGCCCCACCTGACTTGAGGTGCACAGGTGCGTAAAAGTGATCCCACAGACCTGAAGCCGTCTCAGTCCTGTTTCCCCGTCTCCCGTAGATGACGAAGTCATAGGAGTGAGTGTCAGCGTGCGGGACCGGGAAGATGTCGTCCAGGTCTGGAATGTAGACGCTTCCCTGGTGGGCGAAGCCACCGTCCTCGACAAGATCCATGAGCTCCTGCCCCACATCTCCTTTAAGGCCGTGTTTTATAAACGTAAGTGCTTCCTTTTTAGTTACTACTTTGCAGCTTATTCAATCAGACTTTCAAACATAGACCATGTGGTAGGCCAGGCACAGGCAGGGCCACTTGAAATCCTGCCACTCAGATGAGGTGACAAAACACACCAAAGGTTTTTTTTTGTTTTTTTTTTTTTAAATCAACAAGTTCAATCTTCAAAATTAAAATGAGGCTTTAACCTCGCCTAACTGCGGGCCTCCGGGAAGGAAGAACACATTGTGTCTGTGGTTTCAAACATTTAACTCTGAACTTGAATTTGTCCTTCTCAGGAACACACACACACACACAAATTAGACTCCATTGGAAACAACAATAACAAAAAACTGCTATTATATGAGCCGGCAGGTAGATGTTCGATCACCCTTCATGAGCGGGAGTCTATAATGTATAACGTCTGTGTCTGGGGGGGCCTGCTCATCCCGCGCAGGCATGGTTGAACCTACTGCGAGCCTCAGCCTGGCTCAGGACACGGGCTGGGGCCCAGAGAGGAGCAGGACTCCGCGCACAGTGTGGAGTGTTAGCAGTGTGAAGAGCTGTGTGACCCTTGTCTCCATCGTGACCCACGTGCATTGCTTTGTGTGTTCTTTTGAAACAGTCATCTTTTCTTCATAATGAAACCACCCTAAGGCTGCTAAGCCAGTCTTGGGAAGATCGAGCTTCAGGGTACACTTTGAACAGGGAGTCGAAAGAGTGGACAGCCCTACAGACGTGTGATAAATTTCCTACGTCCCAAACTCTCCCCGAAGTTACTAACCCATGTTTGTTTGTTTGTTTGTTTTAACTACTGTATTTCATCAAATCTAAGATGCTCTTGATGATAGGAGGTCCCATTTCTTATTATTACTAAGGAGGGAAAAAAGTCTCCAGTTACACTCTGAGCATAATCTCGATTCCATAGTTCCTCAGGTATGAGGGAGGCGGGATGGGAACATCTTAGAATTGCTGAAATACATGTATGTCATCATCATCTCTCTTTCCCCAACTCCTTTCCAAAAAAGAATAAAATAGCAGATTGTTTAGTGTTGGTCTAAAGGTAGTGATATGAAAACTAGCGCCCCATATAGGGAATTGTCCGGTCACCTGCAGACAGCTCAGGCTTGGTTTGGGGAGACTGATGGGGTGCTGCAGGTGCTCAGGAGACACCAATCCTTTGAATTTTAAAGAAAAGGTTAATAAAAGAGACCAGCCACACGCTGTGCAGGAGTCTGATGGCCATGCAGCGTGGAAAGGCCACATTGGTCAGTGCCGATTTTATTCTTCAGGGACACATTGATTGCATCTTTACCCCAGATATAAATTTAAAGGCCTCTAAGGCTCTTTCTGCTCCACAAGACCAACAAGCAGAAACTCAGAAGGGCATGGGCTTTGTTGCCGCTCACGAAGGGGCCGAGACGTCCCTCACCATTCTGAGCAGCCCGTGCTGACTCTGAGGATGCGAGCTGCCGCCCAGAGCAGCCCTCCCGCAGCACCTTCCCTTTCCTTTCTCACCTGGGCATGGAGGAGGTTGGCAGCAGATGATCTGCAAGGTCCCTTCTTCTTCAGAATCCTAAGAACAGGTTTCCTGTAGCCGCAGGGTCAGCATTGGTGTGCATGTTTCACTAGGCAATCAGGCTACGGGGGCTTAGGCTGGTGGTAGGGCAGCGGCCATGACCAGGCCGCAGGAGCAGGGCAGGAGGACTCTGCCTGGCTATGTGGTAGCAGGTGGTGGGAGAGAAAAGGCACACGGGAAGGCAGATCCACCTGCCAGCTGATCAAGGTGGGTAAAACCTGACGGTAGGGGCCGAGGTCGAGCCTGTGAGCAATGCAGGACTGGCTACAGTCTCAGCGGAACCCACACTGTCATGGCACAGAGGAGCACGTAAACCTCGCAAGATTCTCAGAATTTGGAATGGGAAGACGGACAGTGCTACCTTGACTCAGCAGGGCCCTGCCAGGTTTCCCGAAAATCAGGACCCACAGCTCCCAAAGTAGTCCCGGGCCAACCTAGGGTAGAAATCGCCAACCAGCCTTTATTCTGTGTTGGTCATGGGCTCCTGTCAGTGTCCACCAGTGTGTAGAAGCTGGGTAACAGTGGAGCTCACCAGCATGTTCCGTCACAGCCTCTAGGGGTTGGGTGAAGACTGGGCCATTGCTGCGTGATTTCCACACAGATTAATTATTTCAGCAAGAAATTCCTGGTGCACAGCCGACACAGTGGTGCACACCTGTAATCTCAGCCATACGAGAGGCTGAGGCAGGAGGATCGCAAGTTCCAGGCCAGCCTCAGCAACTTAGCAAGGCCCTAAGCAACTTAGGAAAACCCTGTCTCAAAAAATAAAAAGGGCTGGGGATGTGGCTCAGTGGTTAAGTGCCCCTGGGTACAATACTCCGTACCAAAAAAAAGAGAAAGAAAGAAATGCACAGTGTACAGGTACCACACACACACACACACACACACACACACACACACACACACATCCCAGGTGTGACCGAGGGTCCTCCCTGAAGTGAACACTATTGAAAACGGGGCAGGCAAACCAGCAATCTGAGCCAGGTCTCTATCTCCCTCTCCTTCCCTCCTCACCTGCTTTTGTACAGGTGCTCCAGAGGATGGTTTTTTAAATAGCTGGAAGACAATCAAAAGAAGAACTATATTTTGTGAGACATGAAAATTATATGAATATCAAATTTCAGAGTCTGTAGTCTCATTGGCCTGTGCAAGTGCCCGTTGGTATCCATATTTCCTGTAGCTGTTTTAATGCAGCAGGAAGTGCTACTATCAGGAAAAGTTGGCTCCCCCTGGCTTGGAGAGCAGTGTCCATTCCCCTCCCACCCCGCTGCCCTGAGGTTCCCAGAGCACCCTCCGGGGCCCCTCTCCCAGTGCTGTGCAGTATGGCTTCAACGGTTATGTGTGCCTTGCCGCATTGACGTGAAGGCTAGCCCAGACTGCTCTTCACACCTAAAAGTACTCAGAGTCTCCGGGCAGTCTGTGTCTCCGGCCTTATCATTTGTAGACCAGCTTTGCTCTTGTCTGTGGCTTCTCTGACTCTGCAGCACGGAATGTTCATGGTAGGCCAAACCAGGCTTCCTTTCGTGTCTGCCTTAAAATATCTTCCTTAGAAAGAAAAAAAGCAAGCACAGGGAAATACTTGCAAAGCGATAGCTGTAAGAAGCACTAAATTAGGTCAGATTTCAGGCCACTCCCAGGATTTCGACCAACCCCAGGTAACCCTGGGGGCTGCCTGGTGTGTCTCCCTGGTGCTGGCCCAATGAAGAGGATGTCACGTCTACTGCCCAGCAATAGTCTGAAGATGAGTCTGTTTGAAAAACAGGGGGAGGGCTTCAGAAGTAGAGGGGCAGCTCACCTGAGTCTCCCTAGGACACACTGCGGTGGAGCCAGGGTGGGGACCAACACACGGGATCCTGAATCTCCCTGGCTCCATCAGGCTCCACAGTGATAACTAACCAGGTCCAGAAGCAGGTCCCCAAACGTGGCCCTCGCCTCGGAGGACCTATTACAATAGGTGCCTCCCTTTCCCGTCTTGTGCCCTAAAAGTCTTTGGAAACATTTGTTGTTGCGTGGTTTTTTTTTTTTTTTATCCTGGAGTTGGCAATTATAATTCCTAATTTTGCAAGCCAGACAGCAGGGGGCTGAGGATCCCCTGGGAGGCTGGGGCAAGAGGGGGAAAAAGAAAGACCCAGGAGTTTCCTGAGAGTTTAGTAGGGAAGCAGAAGAGACTTGGCGTGGCCTGGCGTGGTTCTTGTTTTCTTTAGCTTTGGTGTTTACTGCATCCTCGGCTGGGCTGGTGCATGGCCGGGGACGGCTGGCCTGGCACTGTGCGTCTTCTAGGTGCCTGTACCCTTAGGTCTTTGCCTGCAGCCCACCATCTTCCCTCCATCAGTGCTGGGGATGCGTCACCCTCGCAGGCCCAGCAAGAAGAGACAGGCCGCATGCCCACTGCCTGTTGATGCCTTGTTTGAATTTCCATGATTGCGTTTCTCAGGAAGTGCACGCCTTAGCTAACAGTCACTGGCATAAAAGAAAACAGAAAGAAAAAAAAAAAGGTGTTTGAGCGCTTGCCAGAATTTGGGGAAGCGGAATGAGATGCCTGGAGGAGGGTTGGCCCATCCTTTGCTTAAAGTTTTCTTTCCTTTTTTTCTTTTTTTGTTTTTTTCTGTCCTTTAGCCCATGAAGAGCATCATGCTTTTGAAGGTGGACGTGGAAAACACTAATTGCACTCTAAAGAATTCTTTGTCCTTTGCTGAGTGTTTTGGAAACGGTCTTATCAGGAGGGAGAGTGAAGAGAAGACCCTCTGAAGCCCGATGCTGGTCAATTTAGAGTGGGTTTAGGACTCGCAGTGGCAACAGCGGCAGGTGGGGTGGGGGAGGTGGGGTGGGTTGCTACCGTCATGTTCCTTGCTTTTTTTTTAAGATTATTTTTTTTTTAATTTTTAAATTCTGTTCTTTTAACTCGGATTTTTTTTTTTTTTTTTTGGCCCTTTAAAATTCCTTCCTCGGGCTAATTGTTGTTTTCTGCACTCCCTGTTCACTCTGAATGGCCCGGCTTCCCCTAGTTAATGAGTCTTTGAAGCCCCATGTACCAGCTAGTCTGAGCACTTGCTGGGGGAGCCTGGCTCTGGGTTGGTTGTTGTGACACATCCCTGCAAACCATGAGCTGTGGCCATTGTTTCTTCTGTCCCAGGGAAAAGAAAAACCACACTTAGGCTGATTTTGCCCTGACATTACACACCTCTCTCTTATTTTCTGTTTTAAAACTTTTTTTTTTCCTTAAGCCGTAAAAGGGAAGCAACAGTCAGAGTTGCCTCACATGAAAAGTACAAGCACATTTTAGTATCAGAATAGAAATCAGGCTCCAAGTCTTTCGGACCCTCCATGGAAATAGGTCCAACCAGAATTTCAGCTGGGCCTTTTCCATGGATGGCTCAGAGCCTCGGCCCGGGATTTCTCCTAGTAGTAAACCTGCTGTTTCCAATTGAAAGAGGAATCCATCATTTTTTTCAGTGTTTGAACTGAGCTTCTTCCACTGTTGAGGTGTGTTTTCCCCCACTGAGGACTTCCCAGATCCCCTCGATCACGTTTTGTTGAAAGAGCCCTGCTCCTCTGATCCGCCCTGATCCGTCAATCGGGATCCCCATGCCCTCTAGCCTGGCAGCTGTCCCCTGCATTGTCACCTAGGACAAGGAGCTTCGATCTCCTTTCCGAGATTCACGTGAGCATTCCCAGCCCTGAGCTTTGAGCGCCTCCTGCCTATATTGACTGTTGGTGATGCTGACATACACTGTAATCACTGCAAAAGAAACACCAGTCTCAGGAGAGGAAAACGGCCGAGTGGGGATCGGGGGGACCCGCTCAAAACGGGCCGGTTCTCCTCACTCAGCTTTGTCCCACTGGGTGCTTTTACCTGGGCGAGGGCAGGTGCAGGAGGTGCCTGCTCCTCCTGGCCACCTGGAGTCGTGGGAACTGGTACAGGCACACGTGGCCCAGACCTCGAGGTACCAGGACTTCCAGACCCTGTGGCAGGCAGCTCCGGTCCCTGAGTAAGACTCTCCATTCAGACAGTCGACCGTCGACAGCGCCTGTGGGTGACAGTCCCTCCCCTTCCCTCCCATCGCTCACCACGTCAGCCATGATAATCACCAATCATCGTTTTTAAAAGTGCTTTTTTCTAAACTCAAGTTTTTTCAGCAGTTCTACTATGAGGTATAAGAATATGGAGTCCATATAGCAAAAGTCTGGGACTTGTATCTCTCAACGACACACATTTCTCTGAACATTCAGCTTCTTTTAGAATTATTCCTCAAGGATTTAAAAAAAAAAAGTTATTCTGGACATGAAATTCTTTTTTATAATATACGTATTTTTCTGATTGATGAGAAAAAAAGGATAAAATCAACTTCAGTATAATTGTCATATATATTTCCATAAAGTAAATGGATTTTGAGGAATTTTTATTTTTGGAATTTTTATTTTTATTTAAAGCATTTGTGATGACATGTTTAACTTTTGCCTGTATGTAGCCTTTGGAGTAAAAATAAAATAAAATAGGAATGTTAGGCTCATGTTAATGATTTCCAGTTTTTACTGTGTATGATCTTGGAACCTGACAAGTACACAGAGTAGGTTTTCTTTCTTTCTTTCTTTCTTTTTTTTTGGTCCCAATGAACTTCTGCAACTATTTCTGACCCTCAGGAAAATACCAACCATGAGAGGGATTTAATTTGCCAAATGTTAAGAACCTATCATCTAAATTACTTTAAGAGTGGATTTTTGTCAGATTTTGCTTTGGAAATTGTTTTAATTGAATATTTAGTCATAATAGACTTTGTATGAACTAAGCTGATTTAATCAGTTTAAAAACCTCTCATTGCCTTCTTAGATTAAAGAAGCTAATACTCCTCTGAGATAGAAGGAACTCTTTCGCAGGGCATGTGACTTCCTCCGTGTTGGGCCCTTCGCCCTTCTTGGCCGGCGCTGGGGCGGATCTTGGGTCCATCAGCCGGGTCCTGGTTAGGGAAGGCCTCGCAGTCTGGGAAGACAGCCACAGGGAGTTCGAGGGGCTCACTTTCCCTTCTTGCAAATTGTTAGGGTCTGCAACACAGAGCCAGGAAATTGGACTGAAGCTGGTATGTTTTCTGCCCCGACCCCCACAGCTGTGACTGCCACACCATAGGGCTTGCTTCCTGAGGAGAGCTGGACCCCCGTAGGTGAGGGCCAGCAGCCCCCGTAGAGATTGGCTTGTAGGCCTTTGGGTTCTTTTGTGTAAGCACTTTCTGAAGTGCTATATGGCTCAATGTTTAGGTTTTCCCTTCCACCCCAGCTTTCCCTCGCGTTTGAAATGATGATAGTTCACAGCAAACCTCTACATGGAATATGATGTCGTATAAATTCGTGGTACCCTTGATGGAGGGAAAGAACAGGAAAACAAAGTCGGGATCCTAGTCACTGTTAGGTGATGCTCACTCTCTGCCCTGGCCTCTCCTGGGCTAGCTCTGTTGACCCACACGCAGTCACAGGACTGCACAGTGGGAGGACCTTAGATGGAGTGGGGAGTGGCAGATAGAGTCTTCAGCCTACCCACGGTGCCTCCCCCGGGCACGGGGCCAGCAGACCAGAGCTGAGTGCTCCAGTCTGAGCACGCTGCCTCTGACTCTGGCCTCCTTGTGGAGGCCTAGCGTCCCCTGCAGGTCTCCCTGGTCAGCACTAAATGTCTGCCCAGACGTGGCTGCCTATTGTAAATACCTCCTCATCCTCTCTGGCCCACCCTGAGGGCTGGAGTCTGGAATTGACCGCTGTGACTTGGCCTTGGCCGTGAGGCAGGCTCTGCAGGACCCTGACTTTGACCTAGAGCTGACAACATCTGCATTGGTCACTGGGTGGCGCTGCCTCCCAGCCAACAGGCCCCTGCCGGCCCCAGACTCTGCCCAGCCATGTTAGTGGGACTGTTTGAAGATCCTACTGCGTGTTGCTTTGAGGCTTTTATACAAAGTAGATTAGAAGGTGTAAAAATCACTCTTAGTGGTCGACATTTAGTTCTTGCACACCTGATAAAAATGGGTCAAATAGAGAACTCTCTAGACATGCTTAAAAAAATAATATCGACTCCTCAGTTCTCATCGGCCCTAGGGGCAGTCATGGAGAGTAAATAAACGTACAAATAAGAGATACAGTAAGTGTTTTATCAAACAGTATGCCTGAAGACAAAAAGATAGGATTTATTTTTCCTTTTTAATTTGCTGAACATAGCATGTACCCCCCCACACACACACACACACATACAGACACAGACACACAGACACAGAGACACACACCTTTCCTGTATTTTGGGTTTCTGGAAGATTTCACTCATTCCAAAGAAGGTGGGCTGCCTGTGCACTGTGGGAGTTTCTTAATACACGGAGGCCAATTAGAACGATTCTGGATTTGGTGGCTCCGGACTATAAAAAGCCTGGATAACTGTCTCTGTTGACACCGAGGAGACCGAGGGCAAAGAGGAAATGAATGAGGTACAGAGAAGAGCCCCCCAAGCCGAGTTCCCGAGCAGCAGTTAGACAGGTTTCCCTCTATTCTCTCAAAAAGCAAAAGGCCCCCGGAGATTCCCTACCCACCCAACTATACTGTTCTGGGCTTGTTTCCTGTTATCTTTCACATAATGCATCAAAATTCAAGACCTTATTTGTAACACATTGAAGCTACAAGTCCCTGATTTCATGGTACTGACCTGGCCAGATATTTAGAAGAAAACTCAGGGGTTCTTAGAATTTGAGAGCAGAAGGGACCTCTGAGATCATCTCCCAGGACTCCTTGCTTCTGAGCACGCAAAAGAATCCCAGGTGCTCACTCTCCTGGGGTTGTGTGCAGCTCCCCTGGAGGTCGCAGAGGGCTGGACATGCACATTTTTACCTGGGCCCCCAGTGACCCTGATGCTGACGGTCCTCCCTGGAGAATGCCTGGTCTCACCCAACCTCTGCCTATGACAGGTGAGAAACGCCCCCGCCCCACGCCCGCTCCAACACCCGAGAGCCCCGACTCACATCTGAAACATCAACCATCTTGCGAAAGCCACCGAAAACCATTATGACCAAGACTGAGTAGATGATGCTCGTAAATAAGAACTTTACGGCCAGGACCACCGCCATCCTAAGCAGCCCCATCTCTGGAAGTCCATAATGTCAAACCTCACATGCAGAGTGCTGGCTTTTCTCTTTTATAAATACCATTTCAGCCTGTTAAGAGAAAAGAAATTAACGTTCAGAAAAAGTAGCTACTCCATATGCGCAGTAACTACTTTTCTATAATGTCTTATAGCATCTGGGGTTCAGCATCATTGAACAAGATTAAATGAATGTTATAGAGCTATAAAATTGCATGTAAAATAACGCAAAACTGTGCAGATGACTATCAAAGTAGCCTGGGAATGAATTTCCACTAAAATTAATTGTCACTTTCTAAATGTAGCTTAGCAAAGCTGTTACTAAACTGAAGGGATTCTTTAATACATGGAAGTCTCAGAAAAATCCAGTGAGTTTCCCCAAACCCTGCACAGGATAAGCAAGGCATTGTGAAGTCAATATTTTTTGTTCTCCATTGCTCCTAAAATTTAGAGTGCCATCTTATATGTGTGTGTTGAATGTGCCTTAGAATATCCAATAAGAGAGCCTTTGGATATTCTATTGTGTCCCTCTGAAATCGCAAGGTGGAAGGAATCTGTGTTAAGTGTTTCATTTGAGTTTTTTTTTGCCTGAGAAAGTTACAAACTCACAGAACTAGAAGATTTCTAATTTCAACCTGTGATATTGAAGTCATGATTTTTTTTTTGAACATTTATTTTGGAGCAAGTGATTATTTGGGATTTATTAAACTAGCAACACTGCATTAGAGAAATGAGCATGAACTTAATGTATGTGTTTCTGAGTTCTCTATAGAACGTGAATGGCACCTATTTTCTTTTTACATACAAAGAAGCAGTTTTAAAGAAAAGCTTTTTAGTTTTAGCACTTTTCGTTATATAATGAACAGGGCATATTAAAGGACTTTGAACATTTCAATGAATCTATAGGGTCTGTGTTTTCAAATGGAGTTGTTAATTTTGTGAGCACACAATAAATTCCTCCCAAATTTTGCAGACCTTAATCAGGTAACATGCCTTTCAGCCACTGGTATGATTTTTTTTTTTTTTAACGCTTGAATGCTATCTTCTTAATATTTATTTGTAAAGAGTCACTCTAACTTTGCACAATTTAGTTTCATTTGAATTGCTGCTCAGAAGAATTAGAAGTGTGAACTAATGAGCACACTTGGACTTGAGACCATGAGCATCCTTTGCTCCGAATTTAAAATCTTATCAGTTGTCTTGCTTGAAAGGCATTCATTGTCTGTGGTCTCCTACCTGCGTAAGCTGAACCAGGTTTGTTGGCCTCCTGTCTTGGATCCCCCCAGTGCCCCCCGCCCCCATTTATACCATCTGTGCCCTGTGCCGTTGGGGACCCTTTCACATCTGGCTACAAGCTGGTGTAATGCCCTCCCTTTTGATCTGGCTTCATCTAGTGATTTGCTCAGTATTTTTAAGGTCAGACTGAAAAGTTTTCTGTTGTAGTTATTTTTGATTTTTATACTGTGTGTGGTGTTTGATGTTCGGATCCATGTGAAAGTTGCTTCTAGGAGCCAGTAATTTTTATTCCAGCCTCTTGCAGCAATAAGGTAAGATTAGCCTGTCCTCTTCTTACTTGAAAATGCAGTGATTTATGTGTTTAGTGCAAATGTTTATTCATGCCAAAGTTCTTGCTGCGTTCTAATTTGGGACTCGATTGCTATGAATGGTGCTCCTTCCTCTTTCAAGTTAAATTTTTTACAGAGTGTGCTTAAGTGTTATTAGTTTGCAGAACTTTATTTTGAGATCTTTCCTGATCTGTTGCCACCGATTTCCCACTCTGTCTTTGGGTTCTTATAGTGTAGAAATGTCTTTTTTAATCCTGCAGGTTTAAAACTCTATGCAGTTTTATCAGCCACCCTGCAGAATCTTAATTAAGTTCCAAGTGTGTGTGGTGGCTTCCATACCCCCTGTTCATTCCACATGGGTCAGAACTTTCCACCCGCTGTGTTTGGGGCTCCTAGCCGAGCACCTGGCACTCTGGTGAGAAGCAGCCATTTCTGTGGTCCCCGCCTCCGTGGAACACAGTCGGCCATGGGGCTTCTGGTTGTCTCTTAAAAAACACATCTTGTTTGTTGAATTAATTTTCTTCGCCCTTAAACTCAGAATGGTTTTGCTTTAGAACGAGTCGATTAATCTCTTCCTCTTTCGCACTGTAATTCCACCCTTGTGACTCAGTGGTCCCCCTTTGGGCCAAGCAAAGTGAATGTGCTCTTCCTCTCCGGCTGTCCAATACCCCGCTTTAAAAACAGCACAAACCCAGCAGACTCTAATTTCTCCCATCCACCTGCAGACGGTCCTATCTCACGCTGTAGAAGCAAGTGCCCCGAGATCATGTGTGCGATGCCCAATTAATTTTAACACAACAAATTTAATGAACTCTTTGAGGGGCAGGGCACCGGGAATGGGAGGTTTTAAAGTTTCATGATACCTCCTTGCCATATCTGAGTCTGTTGCCGCCCCCCCCCTTCTCCTTGCCCTTGGTCATCGGATGCACTGTTTGGAGGGAGTTCTTGGTGACTCTCTTGGCAGAGACCCCACTTCCCCCAACACATGGTGTTGGGAGGCCAAGATCCTCGCCTGCGTTTTCTTTCCACAGGATTCTTTAGGCGCCAACAATCGCTGTTGCGAGAAGTGCTCACCGCTTTTCGCTAGTGAATGTGTTAAAAATCTCTAGACTCTTCCAGGATGATAGGCCCTTTGTTACAGGAAGAAAAGACGGCAGTAGCCTCTACAAGGCTCAGCAAGTTCAAATATGTATCATTGAAATAGATTTCTCCTTCCAGTCATCTGGCTGGGCTGCGGTGCTGACTAGCTTATTTCTTGCCAGAGAAAATAAGTTTAAATCATAAGCATGCTTAACGCGCGGGCATAAATCACCAGGCTTTGTGATGGTGAACTTGTCGGGCTCTGCAGGGTTTGTACAGATGCGGGGCCCAGCCCGGCGAGGACGTGGGCAAGCCCCGACTGCTCAGCTTCCTCTCCATCGTTTGGGCTTTGCACCTATAGGGTTCTACACAGGGTGGGTCCAGAGGGGGGTCTCAGCTCTGAGGACACGTTGACGCCTTGGGGTGGTCTCCTTCTGGGGAAATGTGGAGATGAAGGCACAGTCTAGGGCTGTGTTCCGTTTTCAGGCAAAAGTAAGTGACGTTTTGTGAAGGTCATCAAGGGATGAAGGACAGGACTGCAGCTTTCTCGATGTGTCTTAAAAAAAAAACATCTTTGAATCCAATCAAACTTTGACAGAGGCTGGTCGGCTTCAAAGAGTGTTCCCTAGGAGGCTGCTTCCACAGAGGTACGGCACATACTTCAAAGCTGTTCTTGCAAGACACATTTTTAAAGTATGTTTTAAAATAAATAATAATACACCCACACCAATGTGCACTGCACAGTGACATTCTAAAGTCTGGGGAGTCAGGAAGCATCAGTTAAGTACGCACTGATGTTATGGAGAGTCACTTTTTAAGACCTTTTTCCTATAAAAACAAAGGTACAAAAAACCCACACAAAACGAATGTGTGACTCAGTGAGTTGTTAAAAGAAGACTCTTGTCCTTAATCTCGGCGGCTCAGGAGGCTGAGGCAGGAGGATCCCAAGTTCAAAGCCAACCTCAGCAACTTAGTGAGGCCTTAAGTAGCTCAGTGAGACCCTGTCTGTAAATAAAATATTAAAAGGGCTGGGGATGGGGCTCAGTGTTAAGTGCCCCTGGGGGTTCAATCCCTGGTACCAAACAAACAAACAAAAGACTCTTACAACAGCAGGTCAAGACACAGACCTGGTGGCCTGCTTCCCACGCCCCTCCCTCTCGCTGGAATACCCACTGTCCCCACCGATGCTGGCACCTGCACTTCTCCCTGGCTTTGTCACAAGTGACAAACACCAGTTTCGACGTTTTTCTTATGACTTTGCTTCCAAAAGTCACCCATAAGAAGCCTTTTGATTGGGAAGTGCAAGTCTCTGCACCGTAGGGCCGTGTCTCCCTGTCAGCCAGTGACTGGACAGAGCCACACGCGTTCCTGCAGCCTGGGCAGACAGGCAGCGTCCATCAGGATGGCTCAGGCCATCTCAGCATGCAGATTTCTTCTCCCCAGAGCCCTAAGGGAGCCGAGCTATGACGGTTCCACGTTCTGTACGTGGAAACTGAGGTCCAGTGTGACATCACTTTCCCAGGGGAACGGATGAGTCGTTCCCAGAGCCAAGGGACATCCACGGTACGGTGGCTCCGCTTCTTCTCATGCCAGCTTCCAGTGGACAAGAACTTTGTGACTCGTAACGAGTTCGTTCTTAAAGCAAAGTCTCGTTGGCTATGACAAAGGAGATGGGGAGGAAAAAAGAATCCCTGTCCGGCTTCCAATTTTTCACTTTACAAATGAAGAAAATGACCCAGGATTAAGAATGTTATTTAAGATCACACAAATGGTTGGTGGCAAAGGTGCAACCAAATCCGCCCGTCGCTTGGCTCTGAGCATCAGCGATTGTTCCTAATTCTGTCCCTCATGTGGGCCGAGTATGCGCTTGCTAACCTGCCTCCGTGTCTCAGGTCCACGTGAGCAGATTGGCCCTGAAACTGGCTTTCCAGCTAGGACACACCAGCTACTGGCTCCTTTTCTTCAAAGTTGAACTGGGAATTTAAAAAAAAAAAATTTATATTCGAAGCTTGCTTTTCTGTCTCACTTATTGAGTGCCCAATCTGTAGGCACACATGCCTAACACTCTTCTCTGAAAAATGTACAAGAATAACACATTTGACTGGGGTGGATGGCAGGTGAAAAAGAATTACTTGTGCAGTATGTAGGCCCATAAACACATTGACAGCCAATTCTGGATTATCCCAGCACAAATGGATCATGCAAAAATCCCTCCTCTACTCCTCCCCGGTGACCTTCAACTGTTGGTGTTTGGGAAGGCTCCTGCCGGAGATGGGAAAGGAGAAGCCCAGAGAAGATGGAATCTGGTTTCCAGACCACAGCATTAAGTGTCCTGGCAAAGGTTCGGTAGCTTCACCATTTAAGGCTACAGAGAGACTGCAGGGTGCCCAGCCTGACCCTGAACAGGAGCAGGGGGAGCAGACAGGCCCGGATGTGAGGAGCTGAGAGTGGGATTTGCTTTATTGGGTTGGAATCCTATTAGGTTGTGCCTTGAGCAAGTGACTCAACGTCTGAGTCACAATGTCCTCAGCACTCAGCGGAAGAGGCTGAGCTGCTTCAAAGCAAGTAAGATAGGAAGCACCCAGCTCAGCCCTTGGCACACGGCGGAGTTAGAAAATGGTGCTCCCGTTTACGTCCGTTCGGCCTTACGGCACGGAGAGTGCACGCACGACCCGAGGAAACTCAGTCCACCCTCAAGGGGAAGGTGTGGGTCCAGCCTGCCTGTCTGAGGCCCCACGAGTCTGTGGGGACAATCCTCGGGCCAAGTCTCCTGTCTCCTGATTGCTGCTTTATTATTGCTCTTCCTGCCTGATGGCACCATATTGGGACAAATAGGTGGCCCCTTTTATTGAGTTCTGTATACCTGACTTCAGAGCTCACTTAAACCCCAGGTGAACTTCACGGGGCTGTGGCTCAGCGGTAGAGCGCTTGCCTAGCATGTGTGAGGCACTGAGTTCCATCCTCAGCACCACATATAATTAAAGGTATTGTGAACGTACAACTAAAAAAACCACCTAGGTGAACTTTCCAATCCATCCTTTTCCAAGGACATCATTACCATCCTTTTTCAAGTCTGTAAGAAGGAAGTGCAGTGGGTAGAAATGTTTCCCAGCCTGAACAAATTCTGGTTGAAGCCAAGGCCTCCTGTTGTCCCCTGCGGATGGAAGATACTCACACTTGCCATCACAGGGTGATTATGGGACATTCCCAGGCGTCCCCTGCAGGGATGTGCATATTATTTTAATTGTCGACACCTTAAAGGACAGTCGACAGGCTTCAGTAGAGCTGAGATAAGGACCACATGTGACATTGTCTCAACCGCCCAGCGAGTACTTATTAAACTACTCTGATGTGCTAGGTTTGCAGCTACAAAAATAAACAAGACGTGGGTCTACTTCACGGAGCCTGCCATTTACAGGTTGAGAAAGACCACTAAAACCCAACTCCCAGGCCACCGGAAGGACAGGAAGTGTGTGCTCAACATCTCTGAGCCCCAGACCCGAGGCAGGCATCCCCAGCCCACCTCACGGCCGATGAAGAGATGTTTGGATTTGTTGTGAGCAACTTTGGTTTAGTTTGGGTTTTGAAGTCAAAATAGCCTTAGATTTCTAAAGCCGAGTGTTTTCACTAATCTCATTACTTTAAAATTCCCCAACAATCGCTTCGATACCGAATTCAGTCACCACAACGGCTGTTTATAATTGGTTGGAGACTTTTAAACCTTTTTCAAAGCTGAGCGAGCCCTGGACTTCTGCTTTTTGTACCTACCTGAGGGGCCAGCATCCTAAAAAGCCCTGTGCACTGAACTGTCAGCCGTGGGGACTTTGTTACCCGGGGTGGGGGTGGGGGGATCAAGATTGCTTACTCTATAATTTTTTTAAAGCCCTGTGACTCCTTATAAAGCACATAGACCATCTGAACAAGAAATATGACACTAAGTCTAGGATTAAATAATATCTCGGGGCCACCGCCTCATGCGATCTCAGCAGTTTGGGGACTCTGCTAAGTGCAGGTTAACAAGACCAGGGCATCGTAAATGAGCGTCTGTCCCGTGACCCAGCTGGAGCCCCCTCCGGTTATTCATTCCAGAAGTGCACGCTGACACTGGGTTCAGTCCTGCGGCCTCGCCCGTGAGCAGTGGTCTTTCAAGATTGGCGGGAGGTCAAGTCCTCCAGCCCCAGGCTTGGTGGAGCCGCTAAGTGTTTTCGGATCCGACTGGCTCTGCGGACCCTGGTGACTGGCTTTTAACAATTAAAGAAAACAAAAGGCGGAGATGGGGGGTCATCTCCGAGCCCTTCATGGAGGAAAGGTTTAAAGAAGAAAAAATAAAGGGTTTTAAACCAGAAGAGGCAGCTCTGCGGAGAAGAGCCTGGGTGGACGGGGCGCCACGGCCAGTCTGCCCGCTGACCTGGGCTTCGCAGTCCAAGTTCATCCTTCTTTCACTTCAAAGGGCTGGCTCCCCATCCTGCAGTTTTGCTTGATGACAAATTAATCAAACTTGATTTCTCGAATGAGATGGACACAAAAGAAGGACAAGTCCCCAAGGCCCAAAAGTCAATACAGCCCTTCTGGCTCTGATTAGGGTAACAAAAGGATCGCTGGAGCCCTCTTCCTGCAGCTCCAGGCCTCGGCTGCCGTGTGGAACTGCAAGCCGGCCCTGCTTATAAAAGAGGAAGGTCTGATTAAAACAGGTTTCAGCTGCGGCCAAGTGCACGGGGAGCCCTCCTGACAGAGAAAAGGGCTTTTCTGCACACCACCTCTTCTCAAGAGCAAAGCTTCCGCTCCGAAGAACCTAGAGGAAGTAGTATATTATGGATCTGAAATGTTTATAGATCACCCCTTTCAAGTTTCCACTGTGAAGATGACTTGAAAGGAGAAGAGAAACCACCACCAGCCTGTGCTCCCTGGCAAATGGAAACCGAGGGCCCGGGTTTGGATCGGGACATTTACTTTTGCAGGGTTAAAAAAAAAAAAAAAAAGAAAAGAAAAGACATTCCCTGAGCCCGAGAAATGGATGTGCCTGTGAAGGCAGGCTGGGGTGGGGAGAAGCCACTGCCAGGGGTGTGCCCACTGGCGAGCACAGAGGCAGCCCCCTGCTAAAGCAGGGCACGTGGGGTTCCAGTGCAAAGCCTCCCGGCCGCTCCTCCTGGCCCGCTCCTCCCGGGAGCATCCAAGGACACCGCCTGCCTCCTCCTCCTCCTTTTGGGACGGCTCTGTGTTCTGGATTTAGAACAATTGCTGTTGCAAAAATATGGTCACCTGACTGCTCTGGGTGCTTTAGAGAAATGAAGGGACCAGACCTCTGGAGCCGAGTTTCAGAAGGAAGGTCTTAGGATGTTTCCTGTGGAGGCAGAGGGCACCCATCTGCAAACCTGGGTTTGGAGGACCACTTCCAGGCACGCTGATGCCACCCATCTGCAGAAGGTTCCCACAGGCCCATGTCTCCTTTCTGACTCTTGGTTTGAAGATTCTTCCTCCAAGTACCTTTCTGTCCCTGACGGGCAGTTCTCAGGGTGTGTGTGACGTCATGCAAGGCTTCATAATTCAAAGCTGTAATTTAGATCCCGGTGATGAGCAAATAGAGGGTGAGCCCTACCGCCCCCGCCCCCCCCCACCCCAGCTGCTCCCTGCTCTGCTCTCCATGCAGCTCAGCCCCCGGTCGCTTGCTGGCCTCCTGGGGCAGCTGTGAGCCCAGGCCCCTGCTCTGGACGCCTGTTCTGAGCACAGTGGCGAGCACCCCTTCTTCTTTGCAGTGTAGGGGACACTGATGTTCTCTGTGGCCTCCCTGTGGCCCTCGACTCCTACATACAGCATGTGGCTGGTTGTAAGTGCAACTGAGAGTTCCTGGCCTCTCCCCTGTCCACCCCACACGCAGCCCCTCGCAGGGGGAGGGTTGTGGGCTGAACTCAAAAGCAACCTTTCCACAAGCTCGAGGGAGATCCCATTTTAAAAAGCCTGATCCCTGTCCTGGGGAGGGGGCTGCTGGTGTGCACAGAGCCCACGCCGTGGCTGAGAACAGCTCCCCCAGCCCACAGCGTACCCCAGCTGGTGACCCGATGACCTGGTGCCTGCCTGGCTTTGCTGAGGTGCAGCTGGCCCATCTGGCTAGCAGGAGTACCCAGTGCGCCCTGAGAAGAACAGACTGGCCCCACCCCAGGTGGAGTGCTGCTCCTGGGGAGGCCGGGCGCTGACCCTTCCTGGGCCCAGGCACAGGTCAAGGTGGCCTGTTTTTAGCCATTTCTTTTAAAATCATAAAAAAAAAAGGTTTTTTTCTTTTTTTTCCACAAACCTCTCACTCTTACGACAAAAATAATTCATGCTCACTTTAACCAATCCAGCCATAACAATAGCGAACTCCCCCCACCAATTAAAAAAAACACTCTTCTCCCCCCCAGGCCAAGTGCTCTACCACTGAGCTACACTCCCAGCCTTTTTTATTTTTTTTTTGAGATGGGGTCTTCATAAGTTGCTCAGGCTGACCTGGAACGTGCCAGCCTCCTGCCCCAGCCTCCCCCGGAGCTGCAATTATGGGTGCACACCGGGTACTGCCTCACCTGGCTAAGAGAAGACTTTTTAAAAAGATCCCAAAGACACTCGTAGGACATGACACTGGGGATACGTAAAGACAAGGACGAAGATTGAGCTGTTTGCTGGGGGACGGAGGCCAGGAGCAGGGGCTGAGATACGAGCAGATTGAGCAAGGACGGAGGAGGGACAGAGGGATCAAGGTGGGTGTGTGGAGAGAACCTGCCTCCTCTCAGGTGAGACTGTGAAAATGGCTTATTAGCAGCGGTCAGGACATGCCTGCAGGGAAATGAGCGTCCTGTTTCCTGTGGGGACACCAGGAGGGCCTCCTCCACTCCGCCTTGGCTGCAGGTAGGAGGGAGGTGTGAGGCCAGGAAGAACCTAGAGTCCTTCCGGAAACTTCTACAGACAGAAGACAGGTCAGCACGTCCGGAAGTCCCCAGTCCTCAGGAGGCAGCAGGAGGCAGGGGCTCGAGGCCAGGCTGGGGAACCAGCAAGACCCGTCTCCAAAGAAGGAAGAAAAAGGAAACTGGAAGCCCCTTGCCTGCAGAGAACCAGCCCAGCACTCACCTTGGCCAACAGGCGACCTGTCTTCACTCCAAGAGGCAGAAGTGGGCCTGAAGAAACCCAAGTGCCGACGTGTGGCTCTCCGTCTTCTGCCAGAGTGGGGCGTGGATGCAAGGACGTCACACCAGCGGTGACACAGCCGAGCGCCAGGTGCAGGACTGGAGGGGTACCAGGTTCACGATCTCACTGGGCAGCTTCAGAGAGTTAAAGTCTGTGCTGGATCCTGGGAAGGCAAAAATCTGAGGTCCATGACCCGGGTGACCCCGATCTGCTACCTGGTCTATGGGGTCTCCGTGCACACAGTGTCCTCAGAGGAGCCTCACGTGTCCTTCAGAACAGAGACTGGGGGTGGCAGAGGTGTCAGGGGGTCCCCAGACTCTGAGTAGGCGCTTCCCGAGGTTCCGCCCATGGGAAGGTGTCCATGACATGGTGCTGACCCGTCCTCATTCTCCCCCCTCAGTGGCCATGGTGCATGTCATCTTTAAACCCAACTCAAAGTCGCAAAGGTTGCAGACAAAAACAAAACAAAACCCACCAACCTAATCAGTTTAGAGATTGCAGGGTTGAAGGACAGAATGTGCCCGTCTGTGACAGCACAGGTTTCAAAAGCAGATCCTGTTAAGAGACAGACTTCACATGTTTGATTCTCGGAGTGGCTTTCTCTGTTGTAAGAAGCTCACAGCAGGTGGGCGGGTCTGCTTTTCAAAGTTGTAGCCTGTGATCCCAGCAGCACCGGAGGCTGAGGCAGGAGGATCTGAAGTTCAAACCAGCCTCAGCAAAAGCGAGGCATTAAGCAACTCAGTGAGGCCCTGTCTCTAAATAAAATACAGAATAGGGCTGGGGATGGGGCTCAGTGGTGGAGTACCCCGAGTTAAATCCCTGGTACCTGGTAAAAAAAAAAAGTCATAGAAATCCCCAGCTTGGTCCGTAGCCATGTAGGTAAATAATGTACTTCTAGAGTCTTCTAGAGCCGTGTGCACCTCAGTGTCAGCAGGAACCCAGCAGCGAGGTTGGCAGAGCCCCCAGGCTGCCCTCCAGGGGCCCGGCTGGATCATCAAGAGGGAGACAGGACCAGCTATGCCTTCGAAGGGTCCTGTACTTGTCTTGTGATGGGGATGGCAGCTTGCAGGGTCAGCAATGAAGGATTTATAGCATTTGCTCAGTCAAGTTCGCTTGGGGGGGGGGCTAATTAGTGCATCATGGTCATGCCTAATATTGGGGTTCCTTTGACATAATCATGGTCATGCCTAATATTGAAATATAACTCGCTCCCCTCCCCTCCCCCCTCTCGAGCTCACTGTTGAGTGTTCCTGGGGCACAATCTAAACTGTCCTCCGGCTGCAGAGCTGGGGGACCCCGAGATTTGCCCGCAGCTGACGTGTTCTGCTCCCGGGAGGTGACCAGGCTCTGCTCCTGGGCTCAGCCTGCCTGCACCCTCCTCCTCTTCTGTGCCCCCTCTCCTTCGGGGGCTGCTGCCTCTCTTGTTGAAGTCTTCCCCGGGTTTGGTGAAGGGAACTCGGCAGCAGGACCTCTTCGGGGCCTCCGGGCTTGGAAGGAGCCGGGGAGCTCCGCAGAGGTAGCTCAGACCGACGGGCGGTGCTCTGGGTGGGTGGGTGTCCCCTTTTTGGTCTGGTTTTACAGCATTGGTGACAAAGCCCGAACCCCACATGCTGGCACCACCGGAAGCGAAAGTGCCTTCATTTTCTCTCCTACCTGGGACAAGAGCTTTCAATTTTTTTTTTCCTTGTGATTCAAAGGAAGGAAAACCAGAAACACACACAAGGAACAGTCGAGTCCTGGCTTGTTCCAATGCCAACGCAGATCCCTGTGGGCTTTTGAAGTGGCCTGGGCTCAGGATGCTCATGGTCTGTGCAGCCCTCAGACCCCACGCGGTGCCTGTGCGGGCAGGGACTCGGGGGTCTTCCCAGCAGGTCAAAGCCACAAGGCGATGGCCACTCTACTGCAGGCTGGCTGTGAAGAGACCCTGCTTCCCGATCACCAGGAGGCCCTCCGTGAGCTCCCACCCCCACCGTCGTCCTTACCTTGTGGAGTAACCACCTTGTATTGGGGCGCAGGTGGGGCCCACGGTTCCCCGCGATGACATGGAACACAGACATTAAGCAGTGGTTAAAACACAACTAATAATCCCAGTTAGCCGGCACAGGCTCCAGGCCGGACCCTGTATGACTTACAGTGTTAACTCATTCTGTTCTTCTGGCCTGTTGAGCTCCCAGGACTTGCCCAGGGTGACTAAAGAGCGGAGGGTCAGGATCTGAGAACAGATGTGCTGGCTCCAGGCTCCTCCTTAGGAGCACTCTCTGTATACACTGAGCACCTACTTGATGCTCCCTCTCTGTATACACTGAGCACCTACTTGATGCCAGGGCCTTTCATGCGCCATCTCATTAAATCATGGCCATCCCCATTTTATAGAGGAGGAAACAGAGGTTCAGAGGGGTGAAGTGGCCTAGCACAGGACTGCGGAGAGGCTGCCGGGGCCAATCTCTGCCCAGGCTGCCCACCTCCCTAGCCTGTCCTTGGGCTCTCTTGCCCCAGATCGTGCCCTTGGCACTGTGTAAACTGCCCGGGGCTTGAATTCCAAAGGAGCCCATTGGGGACTGGATTTCAGAGGCTGTGCCCCCCATTGGGGAGGACTTAGGAGGGAGGAGCCCTGCTCTGGGTGGCCGAGCTGCCCTGTCCACACCACAGCTACCCAGGTGGCTGTGACTTTTGACAGATGGGGAAACTGAGGCTCGGGGAGGCTGAGTGACTCGCGTGGAGGCCTGTGCCTCACCCAGAGGTGGCACCGAGGTCCGAACAGTGACGCACTTGGCATGGGGACGGACTTGGTCTCCCGAGCCACTCGGGAGAACAGGGGTTCCCCATTCCCATGTGGGGACTGTTCCCGACTTTCCACATTCACCTCACACCTCCTCCCCCTCCTCTGGGAACTCAGGTTCCCACTGACCTGCACAGGAATTTGGGGACGACTAACTGGACAATTTCAGAAAGCTCTTTGAGCTGCTTGGGGTAGAAGTACCAGCTTGGGGGACAAAGGAAATAACAATCATAATTATCATATTTTAAAGTATCGATGGAAATCTCTGTGGGGGCGATTAAAGAGGACAGCTGTGCGTGCGGAGTCCTCACAAGCAGCTGAGACCCTGTGCCCGATCCCTCTGGGTGCAGGCAGGTGACATAGCGGAGCCTAAGCTTGGAGCTGGAGTCACTCTTCTATGCAAAAGCAACCTGCCCACCAGGGCCAGGCCTGCAGGCCGTGGCCCCTGTCACAGCCCTGGACTGGTCAGCATCAAGGGCCTGGACGCCCAGCTCTTCTGAGAGCTCCACTCCCTGGCATCTGCAGGGAACTCACTTTGGGGGCCTCCGTGTCAGTGCTATAATTAATCACTACCTGTGACCACAGGGACAGGCGTCTCCTAGCACCCTGCATGGTGCCTTGCAGGGCTCCTTTGGCATCTGCTCAAGGAGCAGGCCTTTGGGCCGGGCAGGCGAGACGGGTTTGCGGCCACCGAGCTCTTTCTGCGAGTGTGATCCAGGCCCTGAGATCCCTGCCTGCTCACATCTGGTCCCTGGACGCGCCTTCACCCCACTCGGCCGGCCGGGCCGGGTGGGTAAGATGTTCTCTCTTACAGCCGACTTGCCTTTGATCTTCAAGGCTGGATTTCCCGCTTCAACACCTGGCCGGCTCAGCCCCTCCTGCACCGGCCGCTGGCTGCTGGCTGGCTTTTTCAAGTTCACTTTTCATAGGCAGATGGTGCTCATGCTGGGCCTGACTGTAGCTGTGGCCTGCTCAGTGTCCGGGAGCATTCTACTCCCTCTGGCCAGTGCAGACAGGAGAGCCTCCCAGGCACCCTCTCATCTCTTAGGACGACGTCATGGCCTGCTCCTGACAGGTTGCAGGTGATGCTGTTGGTCTGTAAGCCATACTTCTGACAGCGCCATCCTACGCTGCATTTGAAATAACTGGCACTCCGGCCTCCAGAAGCGAGGGCCTGTCTCTTCCCGTTTCCCTGAACAGAACCGCCTCCTCGTCCCTTCCCAGAGTCTTCTGGCCAGGTGACTAATTCAGACTCAAGTGCCCCTAGCTGATAGAGAGGCAGGGGCTGGAATCAGAGATCTGTCTTGTAGAACAGGGGGTAGGTTCTGTGTTGTGATGACGCGAGAATCACCTTGCTCATGGCTGGGCCACCGCGGTTTTTAGTGGGTCCTGCAGGGCTCTGCCAGGATAAGCTTTTAAAAAGACCGTGGTGTTGGCAACGTGAAGTGAGGTGACCACTGTTACCCCACATTTCCTCCTCTAGCCCAGGGCTCATGCAGAGGGCCCAAACCTAGGCAGAGCATCACTTCAACAGAGGCTCCCGAGGGCAAGCTGTGTCCCTGCCACCCTGCGTCCCTGAGCTGAGACCCGACTGTGCCATTCAGAGGCATGAGAAGGATTTCCATGGGACCAGCGTGACGGCAGCTTGCCCATCAGCCACTAGGACCTGCCTTTTTTGTTGTTGTTGTTCTGAGGAATGAACTCAGGGGCACTCGGCCACTGATTCCCAGCTCCTCTTTTTATATTTTATTTAGAGACAGGGTCTCACTGAGTTGCTTAGGGCCTCGCTAAGTTGCTGAGGCTGGCTTTGAACTCGTAATCCTCCTGCCTCAGCCTCCCAAGCCGCTGGGATGACTGGCACGTGCCACCGCGTCCGGCCCTATGTGCCTTTTGATGAAACCTCAAAGGCTCCCTTGAAGCTGAGCCGGGTGTCTGAAGTCTGTCTGGTACAGTGGCTCTGCCAGGAGGGACGCTCTTTTCACTGTCCTTAAGTGGGCTTCCTGATTCTCCCATTGATGCCTCCAGGAAGACAGACTCGAGCTGAGAATCCAGGGCCCCCAGATGCTCATTCTGGTTCCTAACAGGGCTTCACGCCTGCTGCCTGACCCCGGTTGGCCTCGCTGTGCCCACCTGCATATGGGTGTGACTGTGGTCGTCTATCTGAGATCTGTCACGGGACAGGCATAGTCTCCACCTGCATGTGGGGGATAGTCCTCTGAGACTCCCCAGCCGTGGTATCACCTGGGGACCTGTCCAGGGGGCCAACCAGCTCTCTCCAACCAGCTGGGTGGACCCTCAGGCTCTTCTTTATGTTCCTGGGTCTGGAGTAGCCCGCGGGGATGGGGTGGCTCCCAGGGAGGCGCTGGGTCAGCCGGGACGGTGCCAGGGGTGTGCCCTCAGGACTCAACACACCTGCTTCTGCCCACGTGGTGTGAAAGAATTCCAGTATTTTAACGGGTCCATCCCCCTTGGCCTGTGAAAATAACAAGGACTCAGCAAACTGCCCAGGACCTCCCGGCCAGCCCATGGTGGGGCCCAGGTGTTGCACACTGGAGTCTGGCCTTACCCGCCGAGGAACACGACTTGGGTGGCTCAGCAGAGGGTCTGAGATGGTGCAGGGTGTGGGGCGGAGAGCACTGGGGACCTCGTAGGCTTCTCTGTCCTTCCTCTGCGCTGGCCGCCTGCAGGGTGCCCCCTCACTTGGTTCAGGGCTGCTCAGGTGGGCCGGGGCCGGAGCCTGGGGCCTGCACGCTGGGCCTCCACCGTCCCTGGGTGCCATGACTCATGGTTCCCAGTCCTCCCAGCACTCGCGGGCACGGGAGTCTTCCAGCTCCAGGTTGGCGGAGAGTTCCCGGGCAGGATGTTTACCTCCCCCAGAGGAACGGGCACGGAACCAAGCAGCCCTTGCTTGGCAACCCCTGCCGTTCTTTCCACCCCGAGGCTCCCTGCCAGGCCGACTGGGGAGGGCAGCCCAGAACAGGCGCTAGTGGGCCTCCATTCTGCAGAGAACATAATGAAAGTTTTCAGGGTGATTTATCTTGCTAAACAGGAAAACACAATGGACCCCATCCATTATTCGCCGTGCCAAGCCTGTGCTTTTCTCTCCTGCCTGGGATGCTCTGAGGTGGGGCTCACCTGCACAGCAGAGTGGGCAGAGAACACAGGTGCCCCGTGACCCCGTGGCACTGGGGTTTAAAACTTGGGAAGGATGCGATTCCACATCTGCATTTTTCTGAGCATCATGAAAAACAGGGGCTCCTCTAACTCCAGGTGACTGACTGGAAGTGGCCCCAGCAGTTTAGGTATCGCCCCGCATGCCTGATTGTGATTTTGGAAAATGTTATTTATTCCCCCGGATGGTCTAGAAAGCCCACAGCCTGGAAGTCCATCTATCCTCATTGCCCAGGGGACACATAGACATGTGTCTAGGATGTAGGGTGTCCCAGAACACCAGAGTCCCCTCCCCACCTGGGAAACGGAGTGCTTTCTTTTCTGAGAATTACAGTGAAATCAGGAAAATGTAAATGTTTGTTTTGATTCCAGGCAAGTTTGACGAAGTGGAAATAATACCCACTTTCTGACAAATGAAGGCTTTTTTGAAGTAGAGTAAATGCTAATGAGTTACTAAGTTCCCACATGCTCAGTGGGACGATGTGTGTTCGGATTGATACCAGTGCTGGGTGTGATGGCGCACACCTGTCATCCCAGCAACTCCGGAGGCTCAGGCAGGAGGATCGCAAGTTCAAGGCCAGCCTTGGCAACCTAGCACGACCCTGTCTCCAAATGAAAAGGGCTGGGGATGTGGCTCAGTGGCAGAGAGCCCCTGGGTTTAATCATTAGTGCAAAAAAAAAAAATGACCCCAGTAAAATAATAATTCTGCCGAGTTAGTACCATGATTCAGGTGTGGGTATCTCCAAGTCTGAGTTCATTTCTCAATTTTCCTTCTATTCTAAGCTTTATGGGGAGCTGTGGGACCCAATGGGTTTGTTCATAGAGAGGAGAGCTGTAGAGAGCAGTTTGCAGCTAACATGTGACCCTTGCCCCTGTCTTCTAGAAGGTTCTGTGTGTTAAAGAAAAGGTGGGGCTTGTTTTTGGTTTGTTTGGGTTTGAGGCTTTTGGTTTATGGAAACACAAGCATCCCGGAACCCTTTAGGGCCTCAGCCAGTCTCCCTACTTTCCCTGTCTTGATTTTTAGACTTTGAGCAATGGCAGGAGGTGGAGATTCTTGGTTCTGCATCTTGACTGAGGAGGCAGTATCCGGGGGCCGCTGGGCACGGGCACGCTGGGTCACCTCTCTCAGCCAAGTGGTTATTCCACAGGAAACGGAAGCGATGTTGGGTTGTGGATATGAAATGGAGCAATTCAAGTGTTAAGTGCATCAGCTAGCAGGGGGGAGTCCCCAGAGGGAGGCCACCCTTCCCTCACCCGCTGCCCAGGGCACCTGGGAGCCAACGTGTGTATCCAGGTTAGAGAGAGAAAAGTGGAGAACTTCAGAAAACCCCCACAACGCAAAGCCGCAAGTTTGGTACTAAAGACAAAGGTGGTTCTCATTTCTGTCACCCTTCCCACAAATGCCAATCAAATGTCGATTACATCTAAGGCACCAGCCGCGGCTTCCTCCGCCCCAAAGCTGGTGACGCACCAGTGGGCCTCGACACTCCTGTTGAGTTGCGAAGGTCTTCCCAGTGGGGGGGGGATGTCAGGGAAAACACCCCTGGTGTTCACGGGACCTTCTAGAGATTTCCCGAAAGATGCTTCTAAAGCTCCTCCTTTCTTTTGGAAGGGGCTTCTATGTTCCCCGGGGCTTAACGCCACCATTTCCTACTTTCAAGATCCTGTTCAGGATTATTCTAAAGGATTCTGAGACTTTCCACAACTCTGTCTATTTCAAGTCTGTTCTCGGAAGATGGAACTCCACAGAAGGCAGGTCATGTGATTTCCAGTCCGAATCTATAAATAACCCGTGTATCCATTTTAGCCCCCCAAGCTCTCCCATCTGGCTCTCTGTTCACACAAGACACCAGGCCGAGCTTGGAAGGAGAGGAATCCTGCCAGGCAGGAGCATCGTAGGATAATTGTGATCCGAGTAGCTGTCCTCACTTCTGGTGTCTTGGGGACAGTCCCTTGGGCTTTCCCAAGGTGAGCCGCACCAGATCCGTAGGCTGGAGCCCGGGGCGGGGCAGGGGGGTGTCTTCGAGGTGGGCACTTATTTCTCTTCCTCTGTATTTTCCCCACGAGTTTCCAAACATTAAACCTCTCACGGTTCAGGACCGAGAAGGTCTGACCTCCCTCCTGCTCCCCTTGACGAAGTCTCCGGTTCCTGTCTGTGAGGCAGGCAGAGGAGCACAGCTTGTTTGGGGGATCCCAGATGGAGTTTGCAGGATGGATATTAGAAAAGTCGTTGCTTCTGGGTGGTAAACAGAAATTTTAAATGGGAACAGCAGTGAAAACCCATGTGTGTCGGGAGTTGGGGTGGGGGTGGGCAACCCCCGATGTCACTTGTGCCTCTGTAAAGAGACCCTCCAAGAGCCGAGTGGGTCTGCGCTTTGAGAATTCCTAATGGGTACAGGCAGTTCCGACACCGAGCCGAACGTGTTGGAGTCTTCTGGTGATTTTCTTCTGATTTGGAGGGGGTGGGGGGCGAGCAGACACACCAAGACACATTCAACCCAAGACGGGGAAATGTGGGCACCTGGCACACCCTGCTGATGTGGGGGTGACGGTGCACGAGGGAACAGTCTAAGTGCAGGGACCGCAGCAGGAACAGCCCCAAACAGGAGGGGGACGGGCCAGCCAAGGTAAGTGGGTAACTCTAAACAGACCTCAGGGTGGGCTGGAGGTGGGGGTCAGAAGAGAGGCAGACAGCACCGAATCAAAGCCCCCTCCCCGGATTTATGAGGAGTGTGTCGTTTGGAATGGAGATCCCTACAGTTCTTGAAAATGGAGCAGGTAAAAAGGGAAGGCATCCCCATTGTCACAGGGCAGGAAGAACCCGAGAGATATTTGACATTCAAATGCCTTTTTAAAAACTGCCTTTGTTCCAAAGTTCTTCTTTTGCATCTGGTTAAATGCATATTAATTTTTCCTGCCTTCAAAATGAATCATCCTGTTCTGCGTCTTCTGTAGGGAAAGGAAAGGGGGGACCTGTAGCCTGCAGGATGCCCTCCCCAGCTGGCACGGGTGGTTCCTGTACCTTCTCACCCTGGTGCCAAGGAGTGGGAGCGCTCCCGGGGGCAGAGTGGGAGGGGAGGGAGCCACGGAACCCTCTTGAACTTGGAGCCGGTGCTGCCCACGCCCTGTGCTGTCCCTAAGGACGACGGGGCATTTGCTCTCATAAAAGCCCCTGCTGACACCCCACACCGTCCCCAGATCTCCGTCACTTACCCCGACACCCCCAGACAGACCTGGAACTGACATCCTCTCTTTCCCTGCGTGTTCCCGAGAGGGACGGGCGTCGCAGCCACCGAGCTGGCAAGTTCGGACAAAGGAATGAGATTCGGGCCCCTTGACGGTGCGCGTTGACTTTGTGGGTGGAGAGAAACCTGGAGGAGAGAAAGCAAAGAACCCTTAAACCCTCCAACAACTGGCAGGCAGGCTTCCGGAAGACGGCTCCTCCAAGGACCCTTCTAGAAGGAAGCCTGGTCACTTGCAGACGACGGGGCCTGAGCGTGGGGCTGGGTCTCCTGGTGTCCTGTCCATGCGGGGGGTGGACGAGGAGGGAGAGACGCAGCCGGTGAGAACCCAGAACCGGACCCTCGGGGCGGGCCACCCGTTCCTGACTTCCAACAGACTCTCCCTTTGATGCTCTTCCCAGACACGTCACCGCCTTCACAAAGAGCACCGCTTCCGAAATGTCGGATGGCACCGTAATAGTCACAGAGCGAGAACCCAGATGCCTGTTCAGAAATCCCTCAGGGCCAGGGCACGAGCACCCCGCGGTGCTTGGCCTTCCGTGGAACCCGCTGACACAGCCCTCATGGTCACAGACCACCCCTTTGACACGTTTATCTGGTGGGATTCATTAAAGAGGATTTTTAAACCCATGTATTTCTTTAAAACATGGAAGAGTCTCTTCGTCCATAAACCGTGGTCATAAACTACCATAAGATGGCACTGTAACATAAATTATGGGGACAGTCGGCTCTGGTCTGAGGACGGGGAGGATGAGCCAAGTCCCAGTTTGCGTGCAGGGTCCTGTCCGGGGAGCTGTGTGAGCTGGGGACCTGCGATAGTCCGAATCCTCACTGCATCTGAACCCCAGGCACAGTGGCCCGGAAATCCACGCAGCCCGGCCGTTTTAGTGTTTGTCATAGAAAATGAATTCAAATACAACCTAAAAGGAAAATATCTTTAAAATAATAAGAAAATAGAGAAGGCGTACCCCAGGTGGAAAGTGTTCCCACTTTCCTTCCATCCCAGGCACAGGATAACCGGGGCCTCTCCTTCCTGCCTGGCGCCCAGGACAGGGGGCTGTGCAGATTCTCAGTAAGTCGCTCACCCCACAGGGCCCAGCTGTGCTGTGCCAGCCCATTTGTCCCCTGGTTTGTCAGAAAGTGCCCCTCACAGATGGGCTTGGGGGAATTAAAGACAAATATCTTCAGGGACACAGACACAGTCGCTCTGTCCTTTGTCCCCCATGGTTGGTCTGAGAAAGGCTCAGCTATGCCGCCTGTGGGCACCCGGTTTTGTGGCAGTTCCTCAGAGATTAAAGAGCAGACATGGAAGGAAAACGTCACCCAGGCTCCTTTGCAGGGGCTCCTCCGCTTCAGGGGCTTGATGGCAGCAAGCTTTCCAGCCCATTCTCTGGCTCCACAGAGAAGCTTTTCTAAAAAATCACAGATTCTTGGAGATCTTGGGCTGTTGTGTTACCAAGTGGGTACTCTCTCTGGCTTGGCAGAGAACCAGGTATGTGCTCTGCTCTGCTCAGCAAGCAGGTATCCGGCCCCCTTCAATAGCACGGGCTCAGGCGGGAGGTCCTGGGAGCCGCTGGAGCGGGAGGCGGTTTGCGGAAATGCTCACATCCACGCACGTGAGCAGCATGTCCACACCTGGCTAAGAGGAGGTGGCTGGGGCCTGGCTCCTTGTCCTGGTTGGGACCATAAAGGGAATTTCAAGCCACTGAAAATACCAAGTCCCAGCACAACGGTGCCGGGGTGTCGCCGTCTAGAAAGCCCAGGCAGATTCCGTGGTCTCCGAAGGCCACGGAGCCTCACTCTGGGGTGAGGTCAGTGTCCCTCAGTGTTGCAGGCACAGGCCGAGCTAGGTCGCCAGGCAAGCCACATGTTGAGAGTCTGCTCGGTGAAGAGGAATGTTGAGCCGTGGGCCCCCAGCAGGGTGAGGGGGATGGTGGCAGCTCCTCCCGCCTCCTGTGACCATGACAGTGGCCTAGAGCAGCCTGCCTCTGCGTGGGCAAGGACCGTGGAGGGGGGAGACGGCCCAGGCCTTCTGCTCTCCATTAGCAAACTGTGTCGTCCCAGGCACGCTCTGCTGCCCCAGCTACTCGCCCATCTGGGGGGACTGAGCGGTGTCCCTGCATCCTTAATAGTCTTATAAACGCCTCTTGAAAATAGTTGTTCAGGCCAGGCACGGTGGCCCACACCTGTGATATCGGCCACTTGGGAGGCTGAGGCAGGAGGATCCTGAGTTCAAAGCCAGCCTCAGCAAAAGCGAGGTGCTAAGCAACTCAGTGAGACCCTGTCTCTAAATAAAATACAAAATTGGGCTGGGGAGGTGGCTCAGTGGTCGAGTGTCCTGAGTTCAATCCCCAAAGAAAGAGAGAAAATAATGTTTAGACCTCCCCCTCCTCCCACCCCTGGGGCGCACTGGTTTCTCTCCAATGGAGACAGTTGTGGGTCAGTTCATAAGTATGTGAAAGTTGATATCGGGGAACCCTGATTTCTTAGTTCCAGGGTTTAGAATGGGGGGGTTATCAAGGTGCTGTGGTGGGGGCACCGTGTCTTCCATTCCTATAATGGGTGCTTCCCTGGGAATAGCCGCCTCACGGGAGTCTGGGAACCCTAGGAAGAGCCCTGCACCCACTCGGGCCTCGCCAGGATGGAGTTAACTCCTAGTGAGGAGGCCTGGTGGCTCAGAGGCTGAGAGCTGTGGAATTATGACTAGGAGAAGGTGGATCCCAGTGCGAGTTGGGTATGAATGTTATTCCTAAAGAAGTATAACGTCCAAGTTCCACTGACATCTCTGGATTGTATTGAAAATACATCTAGGTGTATTGAAAAGGGAGTCTTAGAGGGAAATCTGGAATTTACTCTCATCAGAGTTTCCTGCTGGTTCATCCCTCTCTACTTCTCCTTCTCTGACTGGTGAGGACTCCCAGCCCAGGGTTGCAAACGCATATACTCATCACAGGCAAGGAGACACCACGTTTTGGATGAGCTGGGGTAGGCAGCCGGGAGTGGTGAGGACTGGGGCAGAGAGCACCTGGGCCATCCAGAGGAGCCTGCTGAGGGCTGCTGAGTGGGAAAGTGTCCTGGTCATGTTGTTTATCAAGTAAACAGAAACAACAGTTCTGGGGGAGGGGTACCAGGGATTAAACCCGAGGGCGCTTAACCACTGAGCCACATCCCCAGTCCTTTTTACTTTTTATTTAGTAAGAGGGTCTTGGTAAGTTGCCTAGGGCCTCGTTAATTTGCTGAGGCTGGCTTTGAACTTGCAATCCTCCTGCCTCAGCCTCCTAGCCTTAGGGATTACAGGTGTGTGCCACCGCGCCCAGCTAAAAGGAACAATTTTCAAATGAAGTATTTTCAAAGTCAACGTTTTAAAAGTTCCAAGTGAAAAGGCTCACCTGTGATGGTGGTTTTGGTATAGATGGCCGAAGAAAACCCAGCAAACAAAAGCCCGTCACCTGCGACCCAGCCCCTCTCATCCAACCATCAGGAGATCAGCAGGGCCGTCTCTTTACCCTCTTGATGATGCGTCTCTGCTCTTACGACACCCCCCCACTCTCAGGCTCCCACCCTCTGTCTCCCTTCCCAGGCAAGGAGATTCTAAAGCCAGCAGCGGGCACACTGCTTACCTGGTTGGTCCGTGTTCCCTCCTTGCCTTCCGATTAATTGGATTCTTCTTACCGAGCTTCTGAGGCTACAGACTCCACTAACCTACGCCCTCTCAAAAACAAAATGGGGGAAGAGTTCGTGGTGGCCTTTCAAATATCTTCAAAACCTTGTTATTGCATCATTTCCTGAGAAAACCCTAAAAAGCTGTGTGATCTGACTAAGTAAAAGTAATCTGTGTGGCCAAGAGTGGCCGGCTGATAATGGACTGTGACAGACGCCCAGCCCATGGCAGGCAACGCGAGGGCTTAATTTCCCGCTAATAGTATCCATTAGCACTGTTTAACAGGGCCGTGATAACTTAGAAATAGTTTAAAAAACTGGACACATGACTGAAATATGGCGTTACATCAAATATATGGTTCATTCAAAAACCTCAGGGCAAGTGAAATGATTCTGTCTGTTAGAAAAGATCCCTGGCTTTCCGTTTTGCAGTGGAATTCAGTGGAAAAATGCTGCTGGTACATCACCAGGGCCACGTTCCTTTTCTTGGTTGACTGTCAGAAGTGAAAATCCTGTGTGTCTTGCCAACACCCAGAAGCAGGGGTTTCGCCGTTTATTTTTGTCTAAGTCTTTTCCTAATGCAACAGCAGTAAGGGTTTTGTTTTTTTTTTTCTTTCTCTCTCTCTCTCTCTCATGACTGGAGACGGCTAGAGGCCCACATACCCCAGGAAAGTCAGATCGGGATGTGGGTAATGACTCGGCATCAGCTTATGAAAGCGGCTCGTGGAATCCATCCTGAATATATTTTGCAGTATTAATGAAAAGAGTAGAGAAAAAATAGTCTTTTTCTGTCTGATTCTAAAAGGATGTTCCCCACCCAGTGATGAAGTTTGGGGGAGGAGGTAGATTCACCTCTCCCTTGGATCACCACTCAGCAAGCTTCTCAGCTGAATAGGCAGGGTTGTTTGTTTGTTGGAAGTTGGCAAATACCTTCTAGCTTTCCACGTTTCATTTCCAACTCAAGTAATTGGAAATTCTCACGTGCTTTTCGGAAACGAGGTGGTGTCTTGAAGGAGTGCTCATGACCCACTCAGAGACTAGCCGTCACCAGGGCAGGCGATGCGCATTGAGAAGGCTTCGAGGATTGGGGAAACCCTATCATCTTGGCATGAGCAGGTTTCACTTCCGGGTGGACCATGGAGACTGGGTTCTGGGAGGACCTGCCCACCCAGGTCCTGCCTCTCTGGTTTGCGCTCCTTGGCCTCTCATTCCACTGGAGGCCATTTCAATTGTGCGTAGACTCCCGCAGGACAGACCTGTGACATATTAGAGGTGACGGGGAGGCAGGCGTCGGGAGAATGTGATACACTGTGCAGACTTCTGTGGTCTTCCCGTACCAGGTTCACGTCCCCAGATTTCTGTGTCGGTGGCCTGGTGGCTGGAGATGCTGAGTGCAATGTTATCACCCAAAGAAAAATCCCCATATCTGCACACTGCCCTGGTACACGTATTAGATGTACCAGCGGTGGGCGTCAGGCTCACATAAATATGCACCAGGAGGCTGCCCAGCTCCCACAGACCTGCAAGTAACTTGAGATCATGAAGGTCTGGCTCTTGATATCATTCTGTGTAGGAAAGCCCTGCAGGTGGAAGATAAATTGCTGTCTGAATCTCATCTTGGTGGCCATGATTTTACTCCACGCACGGCCACCTTCTTCTTCGGGGCCCACCGCAGTGATCTGAATAGAGGTTGGCGATTTCAAAGCACACCTCCCAATGCCTGGCTCGAGGCAGAACCACCTCTGCTGTTTTTGTGCTGATCAAGCCTGGCTGTGACACACCACATCTGGTCACGTCTCTCCCGTCCTGTTTATGTAGCCATGCCTGGTGTCAAGTGGTGCTGGGTCTTGGCATCCAGAGAGACTGCGAGGCAAAGCATTATTTCTGAAAACGGCAAGAAAAGTTGCCAGTGTGTTTTAAAACGTGTTCCGACTCTTGGTTGCAAGAAAGAGAACTATTTATTTTAAAGGCTTGCGCTTTTTGAAAAAAAAAA